TGGCAGCGACATCGCCCCTGGAAGGTCTTTGTTAGCAGTTGTGTTTGCACTATTTATATATCTGAGAGAGATATAACGATAAATAAATATACCTTTAATCATGTTCTGAAGTGTCATCACAACCTGAACAATGAAAAGTAGATTTTATTTCAACAGGGAAAACATAAGTTGGGGTGTTGTGCTGACTGATTGCTCTGTTCTCCTATTGGCTATGGTGGTGGATTACATTTTAGTCCATAATCACAGTTCGTAAGGATGCTGGACTCATGCAATATATATGACATCAGGATGAAGCCTCCTGGGAGCGCCGTTGCCTTTGAGGAGGGCCTCTACAGGTGCTGTTACCCCTGGGAGGACCGCTGGGGCAGCTACCGCTCTTGACAAAGCCCCTGGAGTGCGCCACCATCGCTGGGAGAGCTCCTGGGGGCACTACCGCCCCTGGGCTCCTGGGGTCGCCAACGCCCCTAGGAGGTTCCATGGGAGTGCACCACACTCCTGGGATGACCTCCTGACCCCTGGCTGCGCCAGGGGCTCTGGGAGCCTGGGGCCTTTGGCCTGTCCTGGTAATACCATGGGGCCTGGGGGTGTGCTTCTGGTAGTCACTGGGGGCCTGGCAGGGCTAGGGGCCATCCAGTAGTCCCATGGAGAAGCATGGTAAGCCCTCTTGTACTCCTCCTATGGCCCCTGGTAATCCCATGGGGCCCCTTGGCTCAAATATTCAGTCGTCATTACAACCAGCAGTACCCACCAATCAGATTGTGGACTATAAATTCATGTCAGCATGTTCAAAACACTGGAGCCTGTATTTGGGGTGCACTTTGGTCTATTTTTCTCTTTTAGGTCCCACATACACATACAGCTTAAAAGGAAATCTTGCCTCAGAATGGAAGTGAAAAGGAAACTCAAAATTGTCTTAACCAACGTATATTGTATATACAATGCTGTAGGTTGGTGGAAGTTGTGTGGTTGAGGAGCTTCAAGAGAGTTGGTGTTGTCCGGAGTGGAGAAGGCGGAGTAGAGACGTGACCCCAGCTACGGCGGGCAGAGTGTTATCAATCCTCCCTACTCAGGATGCAGGCCGTAGTGTGAGCGGCGCTGCTGATTGGCTGATGGTGAGGACAGCTGCCAGTGAGGGAGGGTGGCTCGAGTAGGCCAAGCACCTGTAGGGAAAGTTAACCAATACAATACTCCCCCTCCCCTCCGGGCGCTGCAGGATGCTTGTTGTAAGCATAATGGCATCCCACGTGCGAGGCATGGCAGGAAGGGGTGCGAACCACTCGGCCGCTGAGTGACAACTCCGTCGAATGGCTCATAATCTGTGGGAGAATCAGCAGGAAAAGCATTGGGAGTGGGAGGGTTGTACATATGAGAAGGGTGAGCGGTGGGAGGAATAAGCGAGGAACGTGATGCTTCTCTCGCGGCAGATGCGAAGTCCTCGGGGGCGCTGGGTGGGATGTCTGGGTCTACAGGGCCAGGTGCAGGATCATCAGGAGCAGGACCAAGAGCAGTGGGTACCTGAGGATGAAAAGACGGCACCAAGAAATGTTGTGGACGAGGTGGTGCTGCAAGTAGCAACGGTGGGCAGACTGGTGAAGGAGGCGCAGGCGTGGTTTGCTGGGGGTAATGCTGGGCTGGGGCACCATCGGGTAAGGTGTAATTAAAATCTTCCAAGCATCATTACGACCACTAATTACCCCGCAATCGAATCATGGACCTATGATTCAGAGTCAGTTGTCTTTCACATTACTAGATTTTATAAGTATTCAAATCAACTAGTATCATCAGCAAGATTCTATTTGAGGGATAAGATTCATATACTTGGTACTATATACTGTAAATGTTGTAAAAGTTGACCCAAAGTGATAATATTGAATTTCAAGCTGAATGTGAAGTTCATTCGTACTTCACACCAATAAATAATGGGTGTACTGAATAAGACCATCATTATAAATACAGTACAGAAGTTCATTGCTTCTCTATAAGGTTGAACAGACCAAAATACAGTTACAACAGCCCACTTCAGGTCAGCTTTCATTTCAGAGACAAGCTCATACTTATAAGCCCTAAGTATTGTAAGTTATCAACTTTACTTTTTTTTCACCCATGAGCCAAAGTTGAGTGAGCCTGTTCAAAAATATCCCCTACAATGAGTAAAGCCGTTACATCACAATTAAAATAAATATATTTGTAACCTGTACATGACAGCTACGGTTGCACAGTAATAAAATTAACAAGAAGTCAATAATATTTTTCTATACAAAATATACCACAAGTATCTATCATGAGCAAGGATCCAACTACACTATTATTACTAACATGATCTATTCTTTCTTGGTCCTGATTTCTCTTTTAAATCCTCCCTCTCCAAAAAAAGGCATATTATACATACCAATGGCTTTAAGTGTGACAGGTGGCACCCACATGGGGGCTAACTGATGCTCAGTAACCTGATAAAAAAAAGCCAAGACAAATTTTCAGAAATAAGTGTCAACACTCACAGATAGTATACAGTACAGTACTATGAAATATAAACTAAATTATTTTCTTTTCAACTGATGTCGAGTAGAATGACTTCGTCTTAAATGATCAACAAATCAACAATATAAGCAAAGTTTATGCTGCTTTGTTAGGTTTCGTGTTCTTATAACTCTGACTTGTATAGTTTACTAAACCTCATGAAGAACAATGATGGTAAATCAATAAAAGAATTATGTAAAGATAATCCATTATTTGTCAAACAAATGTATTATTTTTTTTATGTAAAACAAAACTCCATGTCTCATCTACACATTTGTTTCCCACTCAAGCTGCTACACCACTCGTGAAATGAACGTCCACCTTTATGACGTCCTCAAACTGCACAGTACTGTACTACACTTCCGTTGGCCCAAGTCTGCTACACAGTTCCACCATTTCAGACACTGCAACCCAAAAAAATAAATATAAACACAAGAGAAAACTGCTATCATAAAATCTTTCTACAACGAGATAACTTAAACTATAATTAAACAAATTCTAAAGTAAAAATACATCTTGCCACAATAACAGCCAAATTCATGTGAAGCCGGAGATAAATGATGATAAAAGGTTAAACTAAAATCAAAATGACTGAAAACAAAACATTATTAATACATAGTTGAATAATATATATACATAGATAGACGGTTACACGAGTATAGATGGATACTTAACTGGGAAGCAACTCAAGCTGACCATGGATAGTACAGCTATTATTACCACAAAGCAAGAACGAATATTAACGTCAAGAGAGTTGTTGGTCATTTATCCAACAAATACGAGTCTGCCATCGTTTGGCTTACACGATGAATATAATAGATAGATAGATAGATAGATAGATAGATAGATATAGTTACTGTGAAAAACCTCTTGTACGAAAAGAGATTTACATTGAGTCAGTACGGACCAGTAAAAGTGAGTCCGAATAAACTGAAACTCAAGGATACGAAAATTTTGGATTGTGCAATAAGTAAAGTTATTGGAAAATATTACTTTGAAAGATTATCTACATTATTGCTGTCTGTTGGTGAGTTAATATATGCTTCTGTGAAACTGTTCTGCTATTAGTGGATGTTATTTTCTCGTACGGTAATTCCCATACTATAACTACTATTAGCTCGATCTTAGCTTATTTGTATCGCCTGAATATTACCTCCACCAAGCTTATTTCAACTTAACGGCTACGCTACGGGACGCCACGTATAATATTTCATTCAGATACTCCACGTAGAGTAATCAGGTGAAATAGGCTAGGGGGGCTAATCTTCAGGTGATCCGATGATATCTCTAACAGCGACAGGTCGACAACTCGAATGACTCCAGCCGTCTTCACCTGTCATGCTGTACGATAATTACAACAAAAATTCCTTCTTAAATCACATTAAACTTAAACTAGATTTCATTACCAGTATGTAAACTAAATAGTTATTAATTTTAGAGTGTTTTATAACAATCTATTTTAGTAATCTGAAAGGAATACGATGTTTTATATGGAAAGTACAGTAATGTGTGACTCGGCTACTCGAGCAGAGCAAACTGTCGTAATAATTGACTATGGTCGCTACGGTGTCGTTAACCAACTAAATTTTCATTATTCTTATGACTATCACATCTTTGTTGACATGTACGGTTTATCACTAAGATTTAAGTTTTATATAGAAAGATTATTAATATAATAATTTAGGTTGTACCATAATTCGTTACAATACACACCCAGGCCAATTACAGGCTTCTACTGTTAACAAATGCATAATACTACCCGCCTTATTGTTATTATTAGTAGTAGCAGTAGTTGTTGTTGTAGTGGTCGTAGTACTACTAGTAGTAGTAGGATGGAGGCCACTATATAAAAAGTAGTAGTAGTAGTACTCACTGTAATAGTAGTAAGTTAGCAACACGATTTAGGTTCAAGAAGAATATTAAAATTAAAATCATCGATCATTTATTTAATTTTCTTTTTAATCTTGTATTTATTTTATATAATTCTGATATTACTAATTATCCAAAGTGTGTTGCTAATAATGTAAATACATATGTGATAAGGGAAGGAACGAAACAGTTTATGGTAGAAGTTCAAGATGTCACGGCTATAGTGGTAGTAACGTAGTCAATAAAGTTGTTGACTAACTAGTTAATTACTGGTGTTGTCTTAAACTACCGGCCAGTAGTTACCTTGTTAATTTAATAATTTCTTCCTGACAAGATGGAAATAACGGCAAGATAGTTTTATACCACCTACCCACACACACCAGCTAGGCCCGGTCTCAGAGGGAGCTATATCATACATTAGGGTAACAAACTACTCTGTCTTAACACCAAGTAAACAAAAGAATGGTGTATAGAGTCATTTTTGTACACAACTGTATACTTTATCATGGTCGGGAATTTCCCAGATTTTTAACACACAAACTGTTTACAAGAGGTTGGTAGAGTGATGGTGAATGCAGAGTGCCAGACCACATCCGGGGTAAGGACGGGAAGCCACCTCGCACGATAAAAGTCAAGTGTTTCTCACCCTCGCCCCATGACAGTGTCCGTCCACCATCTGCCTCCACGGCTCCACCATCATCAGTCTCCACCCTACCCTCTTCATCAGCCTACTGCGTCACACACCTGATCTATCTTTCCAGTCAGTAATCTCCCGGTATACATATCTTAGGATCTGATGTGATGTGTATGTAACGTTAACTGGGGGAATGAAATGTGTCAAACGCGATTTGCAAGTGATGTATCACAAGTTACGGGACTGGGCTAAATTGAACTAATCTTTATGACGTGTGAATAGATAATGCCCCTCCAAAGAAAGCTGGAACCACAAGACGATACTTACGTTGAAGTATCTGATATATTTACGTCTTGGTGTCCCGTCGGGTGATAATCCCTTTCACGTTTGTTTATCTTTTCCCCAAACCCTGACGCCACAGCCCACGATGGACGACATGGAATACGACGCCATCAATATCGAAAAATTTTCTGTGCCCCTGAACCTGGGATCACCCACGACGCCCAGCTCTGATAGTAATGACAAAGATAAAGTCAGAACGGAGGCCCAGGATGAATTTGTAGTGCTGGGTATAGAAGACCACAGAGGCGAAGGAAAAAAGAAGGAATCTGATGGAGCTGAAGGAGAGATAAGAGAAGAAAGTCGGAACAGAGACGATAACAAGAGTCCTCATGATGGTGAAGAGGACAGTCAGAGTCCCGGTGTAGATACGAGTGAACAAGGACTCCACAAAACACCCCAAGAGGACGATAAAAAACACGGTATCTTAACTGGTGAAGAGGGGCAACAGGTACAGACAGGCAGGAGTGATGATGAAGACCAGGTGGTGGTGAGCAGGGTGGCGAGTGAGGGTGACCCCGCCAGGAGACACACACACACACCCGCCCACCACAAGGTTCTTCCCTGTTGTTTTGGTGAGGTTGTGTAACTTTTAGGGAATCTCGAGGAATTATAAGGACCCTACTGGAAATAAGTCTCTGGTGGCTTTGTTGTATTTAAGGGAGAGGGGGGGGTTGAATTTAAGGGAGAGGAGGGGATGTACTTAAGGGAGAGGAGAGATTGAATTTAAGGGGGGGTTGTATTTAAGAGGGAGGATGGGTTGAATTTAAGGGGTGAGGGGTTGTACTTAAGGGAGAAGAGGGATTGTATTTCAAAGGGGGTTGTATTTAAGGGGAGGAGTTGTAACTAAGGGGTTGAGGGGGTTGTATATAATGGGAGGAGAGGTTTTCAGGGGGTTTGTATTTAAGGGGGAGGAGGAGTTGAAATTAAGGGGGTGAGGGGGTTGTATATACGGGGAGGAGAGGTTTTCAGGGGGTTTGTATTTAAGGGGGAGGAGGAGTTGAAATTAAGGGGGTGAGGGGGTTGTATATACGGGGAGGAGAGGTTTTCAGGGGGTTTGTATTTAAGGGGGAGGAGGAGTTGTAGGTATAAAATGTGGAACACCTTAAGATTAGACACCCCGGCTTATTTCACCAGACGATTATCCACCCTGAAGTTAACTTACTCTAACCTAACCTAACGCAACAGTCAGGGTCAGGATCTTTAGGTGAAATAAAGTGGGGTGTCTAATCCTCAGGTGATCCTAAAAGTAAGTCTTAATTGCTATTTGTTGTATACGAGTGGAAATGAAGACCGTGTGTGTGTGTGTTGTCAACAAAGAGGTCATGTTATTTCAATGATACGATGTTTCATCTTTTCCCCTTCCAGAGTCTTCACGGTACACCATGCAAACGATCCAAACGGCTGAGTACCACGAAGATGACGACGACAGCGATTCAGAGTCATCAGATAGCGCCTCGACTTACGCATCTCACATGTCACAGGACTCTGAAGACGGGTACGAACTGGTGCGGACCCTCCGTCACTATCGCCGTCGACGCCACCGCTCCTCTGACAGCAGCACCACTGACTCCCGGTGCTCCTGCGAGTCATGCGCCTCTAAGAGCAACACGTCCTTCTTTGGCAGTGAGGAGGGGCCACCGGGAGGCGAGGCCACCATCTACCGCCGAGCTGTTTTATGGCTGGAGAGCATTAAATACCTGTAAGACTCTTCCCATTCTGGCTTATATGTCTCCTCTTATTATACCTCTTCTTCTCTATGTCTAATGCCCGGATACTTCCTACTTTCACTCATAGAAATTGTACCTGTTTATGTCACTGTCATTCACTATCACTGCTATTGTACCTTTTTATGTCACTGTCACACACTGTCAATCACTATCACTCACAGGTGGGGTCTGTTTATCTACGGGATGCTGGCCTTCGCTACCCTGTTCACCGTGGCAGCTGTGTGGGCCATGACACGTGACACGGAGTCGGACAAACAGATCGGGAAGAAGATGCTGACATGGGCGTAAGTATGGTAGATCAAGCACATGGGTATGGTGTGTTTGTTAGTATGTTTACATTATTTGTTTACTTTGTGTTGCTTGATTAGACACATGTTTTATTTATTTATATTGTGTGTTTGTTAAGACTTTGATTTCATTAACACATTTCCTTTTTTTTTTAGTTTCCGATTAAAAATTTGTTTTTTTAATTATTATGTTTGTTTAGTATTCTGTTTGTTGGTTTGTGAGTTATTTATTTGTTTGTATTACTGCAGTTTTGTGTTTATTGACAGGTTACCGATGCTAGTGGTGGTGGTGGTAGTGATCATCGTGTGGAGGGCTGGTTGGTGGCTTCTGCTCCGGAAAGGTTACGGCAAGGTGAGTGCGATAGGTGGTGGTGGTGATGGACTGACTAAGGATTAAAGTAATAGTAGTAGTAGCAGTGGTAGTAGTGGATGGGCTAGTGGCTGGTATTAGCAGTGGAGGTGGTCAAGTAGTATGCTCCATGGAGGGGAAAAAAAAAGATATCACACCCTGTATTATTGAATCAGTTTCCCACATCACTGAAACTTGACCAGGTAGATGATGATAATGAATAAGTAATCAACTACTATAGACATGTTGACCATGAGATCATATTCAAAGGTTGTCATTGTACTCAAGGAATTAAGAAACTTGGAAAATAAAAATTATATATGGATTACTTTATACTAAGTGAATTTGACCATTTTCATTATATTATTCAAACAATTGATTTCATTTGTTTAAGAGTAAATTTTGATAGTTTGGACTAGATTCTAAGCACATTACATTAAACTCTAAAACAAATGTCTTGCATAATTGTATTAATCTAATTTAATTTTAATCTTTTGGTGTTACTATTTAAAGTACAATGTACAATATATATGTATGTATGTATAGAGGGTATAGGCACATTATTAATCACACCCTGGTACTGTACAGGGGAACCACACAGTTGACCGCAGGAACATCATTACATTCGCCCAGAAGAGGAGGCTGGTGTACACCGTCAGGGGAGTCATGTACGTATGCCCCATCATGTGTACTGAATCTTATGTATGCATACCTATCACATGTATTCACTTTTATGTATGTACCGCATCATGTATACATTATACTCTTATACTGTATATATACAGTATATCCCGTCATGTGTACACTTATATTCTTGCACGTATAAACACTCAACTTGTTACAAATGAATTATCAACAATGTGTAATTTTCACATTACACAAAAATGTTTGCAACATTAGTGTTGGAAATACTTCAACTTTTGTTAACTCTTCACTCTTTCTTCAGCTATGCACCAATCAGACCCAATCCAGGTGGGAAGAACAAGCCGTTTATGTATGACAAGGTGTCTTACGAGAGTGAGTACGACTCTTCCAACTACTTTGATAGTGACCTAGAGCCTGACGGGCAGTACCGCAGGGACAACACCCCATGGAGGGAGATAGGGGACCCCGTCAACAGGGAGAAAAGGAATATCTACACCCGTAAGGCTTGGTTGAGAGACGTGCCCATCATCTGGTGGGAACTGTGGACAGAACCTCCTAGGGATTTTTAGGTCTTGTGAGGATTCAGGGAATAACAGGGAAATTCTAAACTTAACACAGGGAGAGCTTGGACAAGTGTTGTCATTAGATTTGTTCACCGAGACGTCGTCCTTTATGTCCAAGACTCAGGGTGTTAGAAGCTGGGTATTGTGAACTGTTGGAAGATAGGCGATTTTTATTTTTTTTAATAGTTTAGAAAAGTCTTGACAACTTCAATCATTCAGTAAAAATAAATGAAAGATATATTGTACTGAATGATAGACATTTATGTAAAAACAAGGACGTAAAGTTCCTATACAGCTTCAATAAGGAATTTTTCACAAACAATCTAAGGCAATACTTTATACCGACCAATGGTAATATTATATAAAGACTTAAATAAGCAGTTCCAACAACATCCACAAGGAAATTAATCATGAAGTAAAATGGGAAACATATTGTACCTAACATTGTCTAGAATTAAAGTACCTAAGAAATACTAAAAATAATTGTGACAGCTTAAACGAGTACTGTATATAGAGTATCCACGACCATGTAACAGTGTCATTAGTGGTGCTAAGTGATATGTATTACATTATCTATAGTTCTGGAGTTAAATGTTCTGACTTGTCTACCAGACACACAAACACAAAACGTATATTAGTGATAAACTTTTACAGATACTAGTAGGATGTGTGGTAATAATTCCTTCCTTTATTTTGGTTACAAGAAAAAAAAAAAAATTATATATATATATATATATATATATATATATATATATATATATATATACAGGTATAATATATATATATATATATATATATATATATATATATATATATATATATATATATATATATATATACACAGGTATAATATATATATATATATATATATATATATATATATATATATATATATATATATATATATATATATATATATATACACAGTATAATATATATATATATATATATATATATATATATATAGTATAATATATATATATATATATATATATATATATATATATATATATATATATATATATATATATATATATATATATATATATATATATATATATATATATAATCCTTACATAAGTTGTTGTTATACTAAAAGTAAATATATTACGTATAACTTGACATTTCTTGAGTTTCATACCCAAATTATTGTTCTTGTGTGAATGTCTGTTTATGTGTGTACATATGAGCATTTTTGTGTGTGTTTGTATGCCTCTGCATGTGTGTGTATATGTATGTATCTTTGTATGTGTAATTAATTTGTGTTTGTTTATGTTTATATGTTTTATATGGCAAGGACTGGTGTTTGGGTGAGAAGCGTGGACACTTTCAGCAGACACCAAAAAGAGGTTGGAGGCATTGTGTCAGACGGGCCCTTTGCAGTGTCATGTATGGTGAGGGCCTTGACATGTAGAACACTTGCCCGGTGGGGAAGTGAAAGATCATCTACTAACAGGTGCTGTCTAAGCCAACAGTATTTGTGATCCAGCAAAGGTAAGCTGAGGATGCAAGTCACTCTTAACAACAACAAATCTTAACTTACACTAACTTAAAAATATTAAAACAGAGCTAAATAACCATCATAATAACTTTCACTTGACTGAGAGTGAGTTACACCACCCGAGTACCAGTGTATAGAGTTACAACTGAAAAGTATATACAGGTACAGTATGTCGGGTGACAGCCAAAAATAGCACCAGGCTTTGTGATGGTCGTGACCAGAAATGCAACTCCCAGCTAGTATATCAGGGGTTTGTGAGTGAAGTAATCTCCTACCTAGAGACAAGGTAACATATCTGGCTGACTCAATTAAGGTATATTTAATGTTGAAGTTGTTCTCAAGACTAACTAGAATTAACACAACGATTTCTTAATTACCAGTTTAGAGAAGTCTCACTTATCTTTGAGAATCTGGTCCGAGTAATCTAGCTCATTATTTCTCTACTCCTTTCTATCCCTATTCTTCCTTATCCATTTCTCCATCCCTTCTCATACTGTGTATATGAGGCAGCACAGAAAGGAAGGGAGTTTCTACTGCATTCTTTGGATCTGTTATAGCTTACGTAACAATATACAAGATGCCAACAATGTTCAACACTTATTTTTATGTCACTATCGGCACATAATGTAGAAGCTACTGTACCTTAACTTCGTACCTTAATGTATACTTGTTATCTTAGTAAAATTTCTAATTCCTATATTCACTAAGAAAAATTACAGATAAAAGACTCCCTTTTAAGTTTGTAACATTGCTGAACACTCACCTTGCAAAAGTCCTGCTGGGTGGCACTGACAGGGGCAGCACAGAGGGAGGAAACACTGATGCCCACATTGCGCCCCTCATAACGCTGTGAGCATGCACTCCCATTTATTGTCCTCACCACAGCGATCATCCCCTCCCCTGTAACACCATTCAACACTTTTATAAAGAAGCCTCGTATGATAACACCACCAGATTCTAAAAAATTTGAACATAATATTTGCCTTGACAATGTATGTATCTATAGATAACATTGAGTTCCAGTGCAATTTCAACAGTACCATTTGAGCCGCCACCTCTATGTCATACCTTACATTAACCAGTTACAGTAAGTGCATTTGTAGGATACTGTTAGCTTAACAATAGTGATAATTCAAATTCAACTATTTTAATTAGAAGCCCCATATCACAACACAACACTTAAAGAAGGGAAAGTTCTGGGGTAAATTGCCGAAGCCTAATTCATTCTAGACAAAACATCCCACAATCATGAAATCATCATTGTCACGAACTCACCTGTGCCCCAACCCATAAGGATGGTCCTGTGGCTGGTGAGGTTGGTGTGGGCATCGAGGTCATTGAGACACACCAATAGAAGCCAATCCCTGATGATGTCTCTCCTGCTGTCTGCCGCTAAAGGTGATGGCCACCTTGAGCTGCACCAGAGTGACATTGTTGTCAGTGATGGCCTTACCTAGAAATGTGTTAGGAAGCCAATTCACAAATTTATATCCATCTCTTTTACCTCATGGACTTGTACTGTATACAAAATTTTTTGCACTTTGTAGTTTATTTCTGAACAGGGTATTTGAAACTGAATTTACAGTGATTTCAGGGACTGCAGCCCCCACAACACACCACCAGTGAGGCATGCCTACAACCACATATACTGTAGTACAAAAGCCTGCAGGATATAAACCCCTTGGAAAATATTTGCTTCAATGTAGTTTTGTTTTACCAGTGTGAATGTAGCTTAACCAAATTTTCTTAACTGATGTTTTATAATTAGTAAATAAATGTTCAGATAATAATCATTTATTTTTCATGCTGGCCTCTCTAGGAATAATTATCTTTATTTGGGGTTTACAGGTAGACAAATACCATCAACCTAAACTGATTTGTACTGTGCTGCAAAAGCCCCAAACTATGTAAACTGGAAGGTTCCCCTATTGATTTCACCTTGGGATTACAGGGACCCAAAATACATGCATGTACAGTATTGTATATGTTATTTCCTTGGTCACTTTTCTTTTTTCGAGAAACCAAGCATACAAAATTATCAGATAGATGGATCCACTCATGGCAATATTCCTCATGACCTGGCAGCCAAGGGTTTAAAATTTGTATCAGATGAAATATTTGACTCAAGATATGGATGGAAAAAGGAGGGGGCTCAAATGCAGAGCACATGACATCTCATCCATAAGATTCGAAAATAGGGATAAAGGTTAATAACAATCACAAATTTATCACATGATTTATTTACCTGCTAGCTGCATGATCCATAATACAGTATGAAGACTAAAAGTTATGTATAAATGAAGATGAGCTGAACTGAAGTAATGATAATGCAAACTGTGGTGAAAACTTGCCTCTTTAAAAACACTCAGCCTTAGTACAGGACATCTTTTAAGTTAGTAGCATATGCAATCAACTCAGAGATCAAATCAATACCAAAACAACCATTCATGTGATGTGACACGATGATGTACACATACAATTGAATTCACATTATCCAGACCAACTCGTAGTACAGAAGATGTTAAGCTGTTCTACTTGAACTGACACACCCAGAGCTCTGTTACACCTAAAAGCTTTCAATATTGTACTGTACTTTATTAAATTTTACCACGATGCAAAAAGTGAAGAAGCCCTAAGTTCTTCAATTAACACATCACTTAAGAAGGAAATATTGCATAAGCTCACTAAGAAGCCATGAAGAATATGTACAGTACTGTACTATATTCCATCACATCTGATACCTTGCTCAAGATGAAAGTATTAATGGCAACTCCTCAACAAGGCCAAAGCACTTCAACAACTCTCTTGGATACCAGACTCAAAAAGATAAGGTTGCAAAAACACTTCAAGAAGCTCTAAAGTATCATTCTGACTTCGTCACCTCCCTCGGAAAGAAATTGTTAGAGACTCACTACTTCAACTAATTAAAGTGTCATCCCAAAGGACAATTAGTGCACATACCAATTCCCAAATCCCAGAATACTGTAATTCATTCTCTCTTTGATGCACAGCTTAAAGAAAGAACAGTGCAACAATTTCTAAGTAACCTTTGATAAGTTTGCAAATGAATCTAGTATGAATACTGTACTGTAATTTACGAGCTGAAACATTAAATGAGATGCTTGATCATTATATGTGAAGTATTCAAAATTAAATATGGGAAAAAATCAACTTTGCCCATTTTGAATATAAATAGAAATTGGACTTGATTTGTATGGATAGATGACATGGACAGATAATTTTCTATGGACTCTTAGAAAAATGACATGTTTGATATAAATGAAATGTTCAAGTCATTATACACTGCACAAGCATTCAAATTCTTCAAGATCTCACATTATACAGGTACACAAGAAAATTCAGGACACTGAATGAACATATACTCTTTATTCACAAGCATGCAGAGGAACATGTCATTATGAAAAGGTTTGATTAGTAAGTAATTAAATTAAAAAAATCACTATTTCTCAAGTTGAAATTTTCCTTGAAGTATCTTTCCACTGTATAAAAATATCACTTAATTCTAACAATGAGAAATGGTTACTGGACTGCTTAGATAAGTTTTGTAATACCTGACATCAAATTTAATATCTGAAATTTACACCCAGCTGAAAATAAACGTGTATTGCTTCCCACTGGGTAAAGTTATAGTCATTGATCTTGCACAAGACAATGTTATTTTTATTCTTCATAAAATAATGGGTAAGGTTCCTTAAAAACCAATCACTAGCTGAATTTTCGTATTTCAAATAACAGTACAGTACAGTACAGTATAGTATATGGAAAAAATAGGGTTTGGCTCCTCAATGACAAGAAATCCCCAATACTGTATCATACCTAAAAAAAAGAAATAGGTTCACTAACAAAAAAATCTACCTAACGACAGTAAATTAGTACCAAACTACAGTACTGTAATTTAGTCACTAACTACAGTATTGTACTGTACAAGAGAACCTCAACATTATACCTAAAATATAGGAAAGTGGTTAACAACAAAAAACTTACCAAACTAATATACAGTAAATTAGTACCTAACTACTGTAATTTAACTCTTAAAGCCCAGGTGACGTTCCTCTACATCCTTAATTTTCATGGCATAGTTTGAATGTCCAAGCAGGATGAAGTACAATGATATCTCCGCATTGCCAGAACAATTGGTGCAGAGCACTTCCGGGAAAAAATCCCTCAACCCTGGAATTTTCCGGGTAACGGAAAAATGTTTCCGAAAGTTTCAGAAATTGCCCATTACATCATCTCTCGGACCCCCAAAAATATCCCTCATCCCTGGAATTTTTCAGGTAACGGAAAATTTTCTCGGAATTTCCAGAAAACGCGCCTGATTTTCATCTCTCAAACCCGGAAAAAAAATCCCCCATTCCCGGATTTTTCCTGGTATCGGAAAAATGTTTTCTGGATTTTCCGGAAAATGTGCCCCTCAGAAAATCGTTCCCAAAGCCGGAATTTTCCTGAAAATTCCGGCTTTGGGAACAATTTTCCGAGAAAATTTCAATTCCGGCTATCGGAGAGTCCCGGGTTTGAGGGATTCCAGCTAACTGAGATATTACTGTATTTTCTATAGGATATTCATTTACTTGGCAACTCAACTCACATGTAATCTTTGTCTCAAGTCTAGTGGTCAAGTTACCCATCAGTTATCATGATGGATGCATGTCCTTTGATGTCTCGTGCCCTGCCTTGCTCCTCCACACCCTCAACAGTAATGCTATTCATCAACAGTTGCTTGATTTAATGGCTTTCATATAGTATTGGGTGACAAAGACAGTGATGGGATGGAAACAGATCCAGATGATGTCGAGTTTGTTGAGGCGGCCAGCGGTAAGGACAGTGGTACAGACAATGGCGCTCGCTCCCTCTCCCCAGTTTTAAACTGGGGATTTAATTTTTTTTTTTTGGGGGGGGGGAGGCGAAATATGACATCATAGGGGGTCCGACAGGTCTTACGTTGCCCAAAACACAAGGGATAAGGGGTCAAGCAGTATTCATATAAACGATAATAGCTTTCATGTAATAAGAGGTGTAAGAATAGAAAGTTCATATAAGCAAATTTTCGTAGCTCAAACGTGGCAAGGGTTATAATGATGATGCATTTCTGCTTCCTAATTGTCACTTCAGTAAATTCCATGTCCTCCCGCCACTAGATTTGCAGACTTTACACCAAAACAAATATCTTAATGAAAATTCCAAAATAAACAGTACAGTATGTAAAAAATACTAACAAAAAATCACTCCTTACCTATTCACTGCCATGTAGAATGACTTTCTTTATAGTGTTAAGTAAACATAGTAAAAGTTCGGTAGTGCTGTCTTTACTGTAAAGCAAGCATAATAAAATCATGATCACAATTATGACAGTGCTGTCTTCAATTTACACATTGCAAAAGTATGGGAATGATAATAATGTAAACTTGTTAAGTACCCATAGTAAAGGATGGTGATGATAATGATGGTGGTGGTCTTCAGTGTAAAGTGACCATTTTAAAGGATGATGATAATGTCAAAAATATAGCAGTGAAAATTTCAATGTTTGATGGATCAATGTTTATTTCTAACAAAAATGGAAACCTACCATGGTATGCATTTAAACTCACGTAACGAATGATATGCTACATGCATGACTCTAAGTTTTCACAATCAAACTTTTATGCATGGCAAGGCAGTAAGATGGAACAAATGACCATAAATGAGGGTAGAATCTGTGTTACTCTTGATTTCAACCACCCCACAACATATAAAGTAAAGGCTTCCCCGAGAGAACAGTTTAATTAAAAACTATGGCTTAGCAGACCATTTATTATGTTGGAAGATATGCAGTGCATTAACCCTTAGAGTATAGTGGACCACATGACGTTTAGGTTTTTCGTGCCATTGTTTGGGTGCGCTTGTGGCGGTACTGTTGTCTGGTTATTATGACGGAAAATGCATATCAAGCCTTTCCTGAGACCAGCAGAAATGCCTTTACAGAAATAGGAAGTCTAGCATAATCTCAAGAGCCATAAGGCAGCTTGATGATGGACGACCAGTTGAAAAGACATGAAAAAGTACTGAAGTGTTTTCTGTTGTGACTGAGGATTCAACTTTTGTAATATATAAAGTTATAATGGAGTAGATCCTTGCACACAGCACCAAGCCTTTATGGTTATCATGACTTTAAATATATTTTTATTGTAAGCCTAAGGGGCATAATCCTAGTACAGTATGTACTAAAAAAAAAAAAAAACTGTCAAAAGGGAATTTTTATGACCAAAATTTCCCCAGGAGTTTCATTCTCCAAACATCTAAAAGAACCTGTCTAACAATAATAATAATAATAATAATAATATTAATAGCTGGTCTTTTGTTTCTCAAAAGCGCCAGTTTTTCTAAAGAATTCACTAGAGCTCGAAACACTACAAAACGTGACAGTTCGACTTCTATCATTCATATACCCTTAAGTTTTAATACTCCCTAGACCTTATAACTCTCCATCACTGTACCCTGTTCAGGGTCATAAGCTTTCAAAAATAGTTGTTTCTTTAAAGGCTTCCACAAAAGTCAGCCGCTTCATGTATGCAGACAACCGACTGTACAATCTGGGTGCTGTATAGGAAAAGGATCGGGCAGCAAAAGAACATTCCCGTACTGCTCTAGGCTCCTCAAGGCATGAAGGAACATCAATACAATGCAAAATCATTTCAGAATGTGTAGTTAGAGGAATTAGTAGGTTCGCCAAACACTTACTCGCCAAACTTAAGTGTTTTAAAAATCATTAGACAGAGTTTGAACTCTATCCCAGCTTTAATTGGAAGCCAATGTTATTCGATCAAGAATGGGGTAGTGGGTGTCCTCGGTGTGAAGGCAAAAATAAGCCTGGCAGCCTTGTTCAACACTGTTTGAAATGTTTTCAACAGATAACTAGGAAGGCAGACCCATGAAGAGTTACAATAGTCAACCTGAGACAAAATAAGTGAATGTAATAGTGTCACAAGACAGTCTATCCAAAAACTGTTTCACAGCATATAGATTTCATATATGAAAGTTGCAACACTTAACTAGTGAATTAATATGATCTTTAAAATTCAGTTCTGAGTCAAAGTGCACTCCAAGATTATGAACAGAATCAACAGGACTTAGTTGCACTTCCCCAAAGTTTAACGAGCCAAAATCATCGGTGCCGTCTCCCCTCTTACGTATATTCCTTGGATGATGATAATCTCGGTTTTGCCATCATTCAGCTTAAATTTTCTCCCAGCCACCCACCTCAACATCAGGCATCATGGAAGCCAAGAACTTTATAGACAGTGGACACTGCCACACCAAATCAGACTGTAAATTTGTGGGAATAAATAATAAATCAATTTTGAACAAGAGCATTAGTACATGATAATGCTGAGAAGTCAAATATAATCTTCATAATTATCTCCTGTTGAGAGACATATATTTTAAAATTATGAGATACATAACAATCACAAAGTGGAACTGAAAGTACTGTACAGTATATTATATTGAGAACTGAAAGTACTGTGTATTATATTAAGAACTCTATCAAAGTACTGTAGTACAGTACTGTCTTTGTAAATATATTAAAACAATTAGTTAACACTTCACGAGATAAATAATAATGGAAATGAACTGTACTGTAGTCCTGTTTATTATATTTTAAAAACATAATGACTAACTTAACCAAAAATCATACAACACTGTTTGTCGTCAATAATTCCATAGTAGAAGTTAAACAACACATCAGCCTCCATAGTGCTCTAACTATTTTTTATCCACAAATTGCACCAAATAATGGATCTGATGTCTGTCATACATAAAATTCATAGCAATCATGTTATCATTACTCATGTCATCAAATACTATTATGTATCTTACATAAAAACTGTTAGGTATCAAATATAATATTCTTAATTTGTAACTATTTTTAAAAATCAATGCACCTCATGACAAGTCTACAAAAAAAAAGAAAAACCCAGAAAATATCACTTACCAAAACTAAACCAGAAACTCCATTCCAAATTTCCCCTACGTGAGATCCACCTCTTGAAAACATTCTCCATCCCACAACCCTGAGTTCCCCATTATACGTGTATTGTATTATATTCCTCACATGTCATCAACTACCATCTCTATGACTCTAATCCTAATGACGTCAAGATTAAAAAACTTAAATGTCAATTCTGGGTCTGTAACAGAGCTTCAATGGTGGACTGCGAAACCGCCACCGGGTTACCTGAACAAATTTGAGAGTGTGGTCCTTGCCTAACATTTCATCATTACACATAATGTCAATCTGGAAAAAAAATGAAGGAACATTAAAAATTTATTTCTTTAATTTTGATAGCTTTTTGTCAAACCATGTTAGTACCACACTAAATACCTGTCAAAATTAATTAAATCTGCCAAAATGTGGAATATTGTAAACTATATTCACAGCAATAATTATACATTACACACAACTGGTGGATTAATCTACTCATGCTCACCTCTCTGTATTTCTGTGGTCCCTCAAGCACTTTAAGTGCCAGGAACTTCTTAAGGTGTGTAATGGTAGCTTGTGCTGAGCAGCGAATAAATCTTCTTTTAAGAGGAGCCAATGTTGGATATTTACACTCCAAGCAGATGTTGACCTGCAAGAAATATTTAACCTTATCATGCATGGTAAAGTTGAATGTGTTTTATGGCCAAATTTAGTGAAATTTATTTTGTGTAACAAATGGGAGGAAAATCTAAATTGGTATAGAGATGACTGCAGGCCCTCAGAGATCTTTAATATTCATCAGAAAGTTTCTAAGGAAGACCCCCAGTTAACTTTACCTATTTTCCAGATGTATTAAAATAATAAATTTACCAAGTATACAGTACTGTACTGTAGTTTCTAGTGAAACCTTTCATTAATAGGCTAGCCATTGTTTTCACTCTACAGTACTTATAATGGAGATAGCCAATAACCCAGTATTATATAACATAAGCACTTAATAGTTGCCAATGTTTCTAATTGAATTAACTACTACAGTATATTACATAAATAACAAAATCTTGATAAATGACATTAGAGAATTATTTATCATTACAATTTCAGACTTAAGAGCAACAAACATAATAAACTTTAAATACAGGTTATCAGCTAAAAGGCATACCCAGTACACAGTAATCGGACCAAAATATTTGGCGGATTTCAATGGACCCTTGTAAATGGAAAAAAATAAATGATGAATTTGCAAGAAGTTAACATGACGATTCAATAAAATTGCTTTAATGGAGATGAAAGTGCAAGCATCCTTGAATAACCAAAACTCTGAGCTGCAGAAATGAAAAGCACTAATGATAATAAACAAGTCAAGAAGACTGATTGTGCTGAGAACGAAAATGAGGGAAAGACGTGACGGAGTAAAAATAGTAGGGTCATTACTCATAAAAATGTGTAGATAACTGACCTGTTCATCCAGTCTGTGGTAGTCAGTATCATTAACGGCCTTGTCATCCTGCTGAAGTTCTTCCTCATTTGCCTGGGGTAGATCCTTTGGACAAACCTCACCCCTGGCACGGTAAAAGTCTCGTTCACGCTTCAGTTCATCTGAAATTTTTTGAAGTACGATCATTTCACTGAAGGACTTGCATTCTTTTATTTTCATGCATACAAGCCTGGTAGATACTGAATAGCTAGACAGGTTCTGATCCCCTGGTTCTTGGCATTCAGCAGCTAGTGGGTTACCCCCACTCCTTAGAGGCTGCTCCATCATTGCTAAAAAAAAATTTTATTTATTGCTGAGTGCACAAAGGCTAATGTAATCATACACTTCAGTTGGGAATCAAATTATGAATGTTCACTTGTAAGGCAAACATTCTACCTGCAGAGCCAGACAAGAGTACAGTACAGAAACAAGAAGACAGGATTGGAATATACCATTAAAATATATAATACAATAATTTACTCTATGGATATTTAAGAATAAATTTATTAAATATTTTAGAAATACAATTACTAAGAATACTACATGAAAACACATTCAAAGAAAAATAAAAATTTAGTTAAGACAGGATAAAAAAAAGCAAGATTGGAAGAAGTTGAAACATGAATATGATAAAAAAAAATTACTAAGTACAAAAGTTTGTCTGATGTACACAGTAATGTTATATTCCAATATACCTGTACTGTGCCCTATGTCAAAAACAACAAAGATAAATATAGTAGAGCTAAAAATCAAATAACTTTCAATATTAAAATATAAGAAATACAGGCACACACAACAACCACATGATTGTATGTAAATAAATAAATAAATAAATAAATAAATACAGTAAATAAACACATTTGTACATGTACAGTCGGGGTCAAAAGTTCACTCCCTCCCAAACTGAAGCAGCATCGACCCCAAACTAGATAAAACAGTCAGGGTAAGTAAGTTTGGAGACTCATTCCTGTGACTCAGTTTCACCACGGGAAACGAACGTTCGTCCGCGACTGTACACACATATACAGGCTCACACCTAAAAACATATATAATGTATATTGTATTGTATTGTACACATTGTTACATAATTTATATTGTATACAGTACTATACTGTATACTAAAACAATAGTACAGTGTACAGTACAACAGAAAGTAATAGTTGAAGCCACAGAGATAAAAAGACAGGCACTAAGAAAACCAGAGTTGGACACAAGCACAAGCACACAATAACATAAGGATTTCTGTTGTCTATACAAAACATATATCAATGTCCTATCTCCTTTGGCACTTACCTTCTTGCAGCATAGGTACAAGCTTGCACACAATATCTTGCATGGTGCGGTCAAATGAAATGTAGTTTAAAGGATGTGATTGATGAATGACAATATCGCATGTTGGACAGGTGTTGCGCTCCTCTAGGTGTTTTACGAGACATGACTTGCAAACTGTGGAAAACAAGATAGAAGTTATTAATAAGTCCATCAGATTATACACAATTACTTCAATGTCTGAAGATGATCTGTAAAGAGTTCCTAAAAGTGAGTCACTTTCTAAAACTTGTTTGCACTATCCATCTCAACTATAGGTATTTCATGAACCATAGTTATTTATTAACCAATCTATCTAGTACTGCCCAACACCCTTTCCCTATATTCAGCAGAGTGGTAAGCCATCCAGTACTACCAGTCTATCTGTTAAGTTTTTCTACAAAATCAGTTATTTTGTAAAATGATCAGCCAATAACCCAGTCGTTGGGTTAGGTTTGGTCGGCTCGTGTAGCTCGATAGACAATTTTATGGTCACGTTACTTTTTTTTAACACTTGTTCTAGTTTCTAACTTAATCAAACCTAACTTTACCTTATTCAACCATAAGGTTAGGTTATGTTAGGTGCGCCTGTCTGCAAGTTAAGTATTTTGCAAAATTACCAACATGCTTGCTGGTCATTTTGAAAAATAACTGATTTTGCAAAAAAATACAAAATAAATACATTAACAATATTCATTCCCTTAAATTACAGGATGCCACTTTTAACATTTTATTTGGCTAATGTCAGATGATTTTATTCAGCACAGACACCAACCCACCCCTATGTACAAGGGGTTAATAAACTATCTCCACTAACCTCTTCACTACGGGATGCCACTTATAATATTTTACAGTACAGTACAGGTATCCCCTATTTACGATGGGGTTAGGTTCCTGAAAAACCCATCGCTATGTAAAATATTGCTGATCGGGATCATTATAACATGGGGTTCAATGGGATACGTTCCCATCCAGTCCAACACCCACATGTATCACTGAAAAAAAAAATCCTACACTAATTATATACATAAAACAATTAAACAACACTCACCACATCATTAAGAACACTGCTCACCTCACAATCATGAAAACAGAGTCAAAGAACTTGTCACAAAACATAAAATCAATGAAAGTGGCCGCCATCGCTCGCATGTGGACAACAAGAGACAAAGCACTTTGTCACAAAAAAAAATAGCAAAAAATCACTTGACACTTACCAAAACAGAGTACAATGCAAACGTTAGTGACGTCCTCTCACTTTAAGGTAAAAACAAAAAACAAAAACAAATAAAACTCCGATGATAAGTAACAACACCGCTACTGACCGATAATTGTTGAATTATAAGATATCTACCGCGTGCGATCACCATAGAACATGGCTTGCTACTGTAGTGCACCAGGTGGCCATTTGGTGCAGCTCATGTTGACAACAACAAACACGGTGAGTGAGAAGTAATTTTTGCTATATTTTTTGGGTGACTGCCAAGTGCTTTGGCCAGACGATAACCATCATTAATGCAGATTGTTTACATCATAGACGGGGTGGTCTTAATACAGAGCCATCGTTAAAGTGGAATATTGTACATCGGGGGATACCTGTAGTTAGCTAATGCCAGAAAATTTTATTCAGTAGAGAGACCCTCCAGTATGCAAGGGGTTAATCAAGACATCATATACAGCTCCTCCCCGACTTACGACCTACTTGACTTACGACCTGCCTCAGTCGTACCAAAATTTTGTCAAATTACGTATTTTCGAGTCCCAACGTCAGTACACGGAGAAAATTTTTGTTTGTAATTCACTTTAAAATGGCTAGCAAGCTTAAAAATGAGAGTTTTGTGGTTCCGAGAAGAAAAAGAGACACCCATTTTAGATTTTCTATGTATTATTTAAGCATTTTTGACTGACGACCATTTCGACTTACGACCTGGATTTGGGTCCCAAACCCTGCCGTAAGTCGGGGAGGAGCTGTATAGAACATCACCAATAATGTATTAGTAAGTATTAAAATAATTTTATGCTCTGATATACAAGTACAGTAGTAAATAAGTCAAAACCCTAAAAACTATTCTTGATTTTAAGAACTAAATTCAAAATAAGGTTCAATACTGTAGACTCACAGGTGTGGAGACATTCTGTGACGGTAGTGGCATCAACCAGGTACCCGGAGCAGATTGCACATACAATGTGCTCGTTTAAAGTCCTCAATTTGATTCGTCTCTCCATTCCCTTATTACCCAAACTAGGAATTTGTACTGCTGAAAGGGGATAAAAAACAATCTATAAATATGACAAAGAAATTAAACTGAGCGTACCTGGTACACAGAAATACATCATAATAACCACATTAATGTAAAGGAAATTACCTGTTATCTCCCAAGTACAGTATATTTATAAGTAATTCTGCAACAAGAAACACATTAACCATACCATGAGAAATTTCTGCCAGTAATGATGTTTGAAATTTAAAATCCCCATAAAATAATAATATCAGGTTAGTTTTGGTTGACTATTGTTGTCTGAGATAATAAATTATTTCAAATCACCATTTTGAACAATAAGAAAAGAATAACTACAGTATAATGAAATAAATAAAAAAACATCACTAAAAATGCCCAAAACAACAAAAGTATAACAGAAAAAGGTAATTATATAGGACTAACCAGCAAGCGAAATTGATTAAACAACGATTATAAAAATGCCGGATTTTCACTGTTATATTATACTGGACACTGTTGTAGTATGTGGAAATATGTTAAAAAAATTATATTTTTTAAATAAATGTTACTTAACATTTGTGGGTATGAAGAACAGACCTAACCAACCTAACCAAACAAACCTACCTAACATAACTTCCTTACTATGATATGGTGAAATTTGAGGCATTTTCTCAATGTGAGATGATATGGTCGCATCAGCGCTATGCAGCCCTGGCGGAGGCGTGATTTATTGTGATGGTGGGAAACTCGAGCCACGATGTTGAGAAAGCAATGAAGAAATTTCTTTCCGGTCTGGAAGCACAGGCATTCCCGCAGTGTGGACAGTCTCTATTTAAAGGAACAATGCCGTGGTCTCTGAACAATTGAAGGGTCTCGTTGTCTTTATCCCTAAATTCGCAAATTAGGTACATTTAAGACCGGCGACAGCCTTCACACGACATGCTGAAAAACAAACTGCCCCAGGCGCGGTAAAAGCGCCTCAGCTAAGCGCGGCCTTATTACCGCCCGCAAGACAAATTAGTGCGTTCCTATGCACCTAATTATCTATGAAACGAACACTTTCCACAATAAATGATTATCATATCAGAACTTAGTGATGAAAATAATGTATGAAAATAAGGTGAATTTTCGATCTTGCACCAGTATTTTTCTCTCTCTTATTAATATTTTTTTCGTAATGTTTCGACATATTCTAAGACATTTTTCTTCTATGATATTTCCGCCGGAAATTAAGGATAACCGAGATGTTAATTTTTCAATATTATTAGATTTGGTCAGTCGCAAGTGTCGCCATTTGTTGTTTACGTCTCACAGAGAAGGTCTGACCACCCATCACGCAGTGCTCCTTACCTCCGTGTTGGCTACTTAAGCGTCTAAAGCGCATGTGCGGGGGGTGATGTGGGAGTTTCTTATTGACTATAGTGATAGGAGACTTATAATTGGGCAAGAGTTTTTTGTCTTAGCCAATGAATAATGCGTGGGTGCGTCGGGAGATTTGATTTTTCAGTACCAGAATAACCAGATATGGCAGAACAGGTGGAGAGAGCTGTGCCGACATTGTGATAGAGATTATTTTACGTCAATTGCAGAGTTTCACAAATAGTGTTAGGTTAGGTTAGGTCAGGTTAGGTTTTGTTTTGTTAGTTTGGGTTTTTTATTTATGTGATTTACTCGAAAAAAAAATACAGTTTCGTTAAGATTGTTGGGTGGGTGGGGGAGGGTCTCAAAAACTATTGATTTCCGGCTGAAATAAATATCAAATTCGTTTGAAACACATCAATAACATTCGTAAAACGTATTTTTATTTTCCAAACAAAGACCGGTGCATTAGTGAAAATTTACCGAAAATAAATAGTAATAAAAATAACTCGTCCGTGGGTTAGTTTTATATATTAACTCAGAAAAATATTATTTATCTCGTATTTCAACAGTACTTCGGCATGTTTAGTTCAAAGTTTATGATCATGTTAGAAACTATTGGACCAAATCATTTATTAAAGATGACAAGAACCAACCAAACTTAATCCTATGATCCAACAATAATTTGGGTAAAGTTCTGCTCTTTCTTCTCTTCTACTTTCACTCCTGGCTTAGCATTTTAGCCTCCAAAGAGATACATGACTGCATGCTTCTGGTGGACGTTTGGCATGTTATTTTAGATTCATTTTGTATGGAAAAAATTAACGAAGTCAAACAACTACTTCTGGTTTTAGCCACCTGATACATTATTAGCCTCACTTCACCATGAACCAATATGAACTTGAATGATTTTAATTAATAAACATATATATATATATATATATATATATATATATATATATACACACTGACCTGGTTAGTACTAACCACATACACTGGAAGAAAATTATCGTCCTTAGGACAACTCCTATCTTAATACAATATTAACAGTATTTATTCTTGGGAAATTGTGCAAAATACCTCAACTTCTTCAGTTTATAGATGCAAAATATTAAACTAACAAGTGACGAAAAAGACAAGAAAGTACGTCACCCAGGACACCTTACCTACTGTGTTGTGGTCCTGACCTCCGCCACAGCCAGTTGTCAACAAATATCTTACTGGTAGAGGAGGATTTAACCCTCCCTTTAACACTCTCTCAGCCTTTACCCACATCACTACCATCTTCTGTTGTTTTTCTTTATAATAAATAGCATATTTTCCTTGTCATGAAGTTCTTGTGTGTATACGTATATATATGCAAGTAAATCACTATAGGTCCGCGTGATCTAGGTGTATGCTGATAACCACAAGGAAAGAAGAAAACACCAAGTTCCCAAGCGCTGTACTCACCCCTCAAGATGGGAATTACACGAAAGCACTTGGGAACTTCGTGTTTTCTTCTTTCCTTGTGGTTATCAGCATACACCTAGATCACGCGGACCTACAGTGATTTACTTGCATAATATAATATGTATTATTATATTTTCTTAAGGATTGCATTGGGTAACATTAGATTTACCAGCCCAATTTTGTTGAGTCTCCGGGAATGCGACTTTTCACGTCCACTGATCTCCAAGCATTCACACAGTGTAAAGCTTTGAATCCCATCGTCCTCGGTGACATTACAGCTATTTAAAATACATTGAAATGTAGACAATTGAAAGTGAGAGTATATAGAAGCAAGAGTTAATATAACCAAAGAATAAGTTGAAAAGGTGCCCAAATGACCACAAATTGCTGTATCCATAGGGCGATTACGATTCTTGCAGCCGACAGACGACATATAAACCACACCCACCATGCCTCAGTCACACCACCAATGCCTTAACCACACCCACCATGTCTCAGTCACACCACCAATGCCTTAACCACACCCACCATGCCTCAGTCACACCACCCATGCCCCAGTCACACCTCCAAATGCCTCAATCATACCTCCAATGCCTCACTCACACCTACCATCATCTGCTGAAGTAGTCCCGACTCCCGAGTAGTCCTGACCCCTGACTCCTGTTGGTGACGGATTTCCAGAATCACCAGACGAGAAACTTTTCACCGAACCCCGTGATGATAGTTTAGTGACGCTGTTAATTCATGGATGGCGCTCACCTCCTTATTACTTTCTAACGTTTAAAATATAAACCGCCTTTTGAATAATCATCTATTACCATCTAAGTAAAACTATATTAGCATCTAATAGAGTCAGTGAAAATAAAATGAGGTTTTAGTACCAAATAACTGAAAACATAAGGAATTCACGATTATAACCAGAAAGAAAATATTACTTCGTTCTTCGGGCACCAAGGGAAATTGCAGCTCTTGGGATAACTAAAGCATAACTGCAAACTTTGAGGTATTGTAACTATATTCACTAACAATACTGTACGTTAGTAAAGCCTATATGTAGGTGGTACTTACATACTGCCTGGAGTACTTAAATACTGCCTAGTTTACCTAAAGGGTGTGAAACTTACTTACATTCTGTGTGAGGAATTGGAGTATTTTTTATTGTTTCTCTTCTGTTGCCGATACTTATCATGATGTTGTCAAATAAAGTGTTTCATTATCTGTAGTTTCCTTGAGAGGATAAAGGTCGTCCCACTGCTAAAGAGGCCAATGAATTCTATATTATATTTAGGAATGCATAAAAGGAACCCAGGCAGACACTTGTTGAATACGTTATTTTATTACGAAGCTTACAGATTTTTTAAAATTTAAATGATCTTATGATTGCATAAGTAGGCGAGGCATAAATACTTGGTGAGGATGACATGACAACTGAGTGACGTGTGACTGTGACAACAAAGGCTGTGAGTGAGCGCTCCCTACAATTCCCAATTCTGACGAATCTAGTGAGACGACTACCTCCAGTCTGTGCAGAGAGCTACAGTGGGACACAGTTGTCAGCACAGTGTCGCTTGTGAAATTTATAGTTGCAAAATTTAGACAATATTTTGGATAAAATATCCGGTCTTTCTGCCTGGACCCTCTGGCCGGTAGTATTCGCGTCTGCGAAGAGTGTGACGTAGTGTGACGTGGTAGTGACATCTTTGCCTCCCCATCTCACCTGTGCCCGAACAAGCCAAACTACCCAACCACCGCTCTACCATTCTGTATGACGGGGCAGCGACGCTGCGATGACGTTATCGCCACCTCTGTGCGTTGCCTGTCGTGGAATCCAAGGGAGTCATGGAATACTCCGGACCCGCCACCCTTGCCGACTTGGAGGCCGACCTAGCGATAAGCGATGAGATATACCCTCTGGGAAAGGTTGGGCCCCTCCTGCGTTGCTTGGCCACCAAGCCTCTACCTCCACCAAACGCCCATTGGAGTCCATTTCAGACAGTGACAGAGAATCTCCATCTCCTGCCTCCAAAACCCCAAAGAATACAAAGGAATCGACCCTTGACCGTCTCTATCAGTACCAGCCGTCCATGGATGATATAATTGCCCTCCAACAATGTGTTTGGACTGAATCGTGGCATAACTTCACAGATAGTATTAACCACCAGACGAGCGTGGGAGCCATGTGGCACTTCATCAACAAGGTGGTCAAGAAAAAGTCCTCTAGTGCCCTGCACCACAGCCCAGCAGAGTATGCACTAGATCTTGTGGAAACATGGTCTGCACAATCTCAAGCCCGTAATCTCCCAAAGCACATTCAAGAGGCCCTCTCCTTCCAGTCAAATCTCCGTGCCCTCCGTCTCATGGCTGTGTTGCTGAAGATCGATGAAGAGGATACGATGGTGATAATCGAGGAGGAACTGCAGCGTGCCCTCATTCGTGGTAAGGCAACTGCCCCCAGTGATGACGGTGTCACCTACTCGGTTCTCCATTTGCTCCTGAAAGTCCCCGGCAACCCCCTCCTCCTGCTTTACAATCTCTGTCTCTGCACGGGGTATGTACCCAATGCCCGGACCTCCAGCACAATAGTACCCATTCCAAAATGCAGGACTGCAAATTCAGACCCATCTCCCTCACCTCTTGCTTCAGCAAGGTGATAGAGCGAATTCTCCTTACCCGTCTCATTTTTCGGCTGGAGGACAAACTCTCACCCAGCTTGTATGGTTTTTTACCACAATGGAGTACGCATCACTGTTTCATGGAACTCTATACCCGTCTTTCCCCTACGAGTGTCGTAGCCTTCATCGACCTTAAAAGTGCCTTTGATGTTGCAAATAGATATATTATCCTTGACCAGCTAGTAGACTTCTGTGTCAAAGGTAATCTCTTAAGATAGATTTGGGGATACCTCCGGAACAGAACCTCCCGCGTCCTCTTTGAGGGAGCATGTAGCTCCACCAAGGACTTCAATCTTGGTACTCCACAGGGTGGTGTTCTTAGCCTCTTTCTTTATAACATCCTTATGCATCGCTTACTATCTCTTCTCCCTGACATTCCTGGTACCACAGTTACCTGTTACGCAGATGATATCTGCCCTCACTCTGAGTCGCCGGAAGATCTTCAACACCTCCCCAACTCATTCTCAGCATTGTCTTCTGCTTGTGGTCTCATCCTCTCTCTAGACAAGAGTAGGATCTTTCCCCTGCTTTATGTCAACTCCCCAAAATATCCCTAGATCTCCTTGAAAAGTTTCAAAACAAAGTCATGAGATTTATTCTGGGCTGTCCCACCTCCACCAGGATAGTTAACATGCAAATTGAACTCAATCTTCCTTCCCTTGTTGACAGAATATATGCTAATGTCTCCTACTTCAGTGTCAAATGTTTTCACTCTCCCCACCTTGCCCCCCTCCCCATTATTCTTATGTCATTAGAATCTCCCTTAATCCAAATTCACTCCGGCCTCTACTTCTGCCGGGTGGTCTCACCCTTATTAAATTGGTCTGTTCTATACTTCAGAACCTCGATATTGATTTGCCTATAGCAGAGGTTGAACATGGTCCTCCACCTTGAATGACTCCCGGTCCAGCAGTCACCTTTACTCACACCTCAAAGAAGGATCTACGGTACCTCCCCTTCAGAAACAATTAGCTCTGGAGACCATAGCCAGAGTTTCTTCCTCAGTCCTACTGTACACCATCTATACACCGACGGTTCCCTACAGGCAGACGGGAGCTCGGGGTGTGCTCTCTTCTCACTGGATGTGGACCCGCCAGCAGGAGGTTGGGTTGGCCGTAGACTTCCGAACTGGCCAAGCTCTACTTACAGTGAATTGCAAGGACTCTTAGATGCAGTTAAGTTGGGACAACCTGTATTTACATAAAACTCTTTATTCATGTCCACAAAATTAATGCAATTCTTGTAGCAATTTTTTAAAATACCATTGATAGATAAACACATGCCAGTACTATTAGGAAAAGTTGTATATAAGAACTGCAAATATCTAAAGTTTTATTATTAGATAATTTAAAAGATGGGATGAGTGTTGCCATGGTTGGTCAGTTGTTTGTTATGGCAAGGATCTACTGTACAGTACAGTATAGTATACAGTATCTACAGTATAGAGTAACAGGTTCTACTAAATGTTAATAATATTTAAATTTTGAAAGTAACATGTCAAAGGTCTAAATAAAATGATAAATAAACAGCCCCTTCCCGTATTTCTGTCAAACTTTATTGTTTCTTGAACACAAAGAACTTGCACATACAACTGCTTTGAAGGTTAGGAATGAACAGAATACAAACATGTCAGCAGAATTCGCCGCAGAAGTAAGGAAGAAGCTCCAGGATTGTCGATAACCTCTTAGGATCGCCATCAATCACATGAAATAAAATAATAAATCTCTTGAAGTGTAAAGCCAAATGCGATACAGGAAGCTCCTGGGGCCTATGTTCCCTATGGAGGCCAGCTAGGTGGCTCTCTGCCATAGTTGGATCCAGGATGCTCAGCACTTGTCCTAAAGAAACACATGTTCACCACTTCTGTCACTAAGGTTGATTACTTCTTTAGCTGGTGGTAAATCGACCTTGGTAAACGGGGCAATTAGTAATGTCACTTGTGCTGGCTGGTATTGAGACCGTTTCTGTTACTGGCATCAAACCAACTGAGTAGCTGACCTCCAACTACCTGCGACTGGAGGGAGGGATAATAGATATGACTAGGAAAAAGCTACAATTTACAGCTGTTGCATTGGGGGTCACTACGAGTCATGTCAACCTGTCAGCTTGAGCAGAGTCATAGGACATCATCTAATGCAAATAGAATAACTGTTACATTATGAAGCTTGAAAAAAATTATAGTAATTATTTACCTGCAATTACTCAGGTTGGCAGAATTGACATAGTAATGGACTTAAAATTGGTGTGATCTCAACTAAATCCCAAATCATAGCAGTATGATAGAAACAAAAACACTATAAACTTCATATTTAAAAACATTGAGTATTAGCAAAGAAAGCCCAACAATCTTCCGGTTGTATCTAAATTCATCATACATACAAGTAATGGAAATGAAAGTACGGGACACAGTTACAATATTGAAAAAGATCTGTGTTTAAGAAAATGCCTGCAGAATCATATATACAAAAAAGTTGATACATAGGATCTTAGGGGGCAGAGCCAGGGATGAGTGTTACCAGTAACTTTGGAATTGAATACCTAATTTTCTTAAATCTAAACCCCCAAGTTCCCTTGCTTCACTGACACTACGATGCACACATTGGCACCTCCATTTCATCAGCAAACTAAAAACAAATCACATTCCATGTTCGAACAATTAATGAGTTCAAAATTGGAGATCTCATACCTTACCAACTAAAAATATAAAATATTTCTTGACTATTTTACAAACTTTATACAACATTATAGTACACAACATATGCTCTTCTAGCAATGCGTCGGCTCAATAAATAAAAATGATATAAAACAATTACGCTATGCTGTCCTCCGTGCTCAAGGCATTTGCAGATTTCTTTGTGACTTTCAAGTGGTAAACTAAAGAGAAAGACTGAAAGTCTACTCCAAAAGCCTCTTTTCTCACATCTTTCAGCATAAAAAGGAAAAAAAAAAGATTTTTTGATTCTGCCTTCTCAAAAGTTTACACCAAGGTTGCGAAGAGTATGTATGTGTATTGGATATAACTGTCTAGCTGTGTATAGCATACACAGCATTTCAATTGTAGTTTCCCCACACGATTATGGGAGGTTGCCGGAGAATATGCCGCTGATTATGATAGTAATGGTAATAGAAGACACACAAAGTAATTGTGAGACTACATCAGTAAGAAAATAAGACACGTCTCTTGAGGTCTGTCAGGGGATTTGCCACAAAGCAAAACAACAGCTGTGATAGCATTTGGACTTGCCAAGGGGAAGGCTCGAACTGCCAACAGTGACCTAGCCTCTTTTTTAACCAAACACACCTTGCCATGACATAAAATAATATCTTTGCACCCAAGAGAAATTATCTGTGCTCCATAAGTTATAATGTAGAAATATCAGTCAAACTGTCAATAGCACACTAAAAACATTGTCCTCCTGTTTGGCAACCTTCCTCCAAAAAGCCCTAATGCTTGCACTACGCTGCCCTGGACGATTGCTTGATTCTCGGAACTGTCAATGAGGCAGTGAAAGTGGTCGCCCTGAGGCTTCATCAGAAAAAAATATTCCCTGTAACAAAAGGACTAAAAGCAAATAACTACACATACTGTTGACAAAAGATGCAGCAACTTAAATTTGCAAATCGAAGACCACTTTTTGAAAGCTACTTGAAATGATTGGCTAAAACTTTATGCAAGCTGAATTACATCTTAATAGGAACAATTCTAGTGGCAAACACCCTGACAAGGAACCGTAACTGAGAGGGTGTGGAATGTGAAGACCAGTGGCCCACTCTGGCACAAGGGTTGTGGACCACTTTGCCACATTATCTCCCTCCCCATTCCAAAATACAAGAATCCAAAATTATCACACACGGAACTTCCCTAGGAATACTCGCTCCTTCCTTCCTCCTTCTTTGGGACTTACATTCTAAGTTTTTTTTTTTCTATTATTATGAAGTTGACGTATGAAAATACCTACCTACACAGTCAAGGATGTTTTTTTGATTGTTACTCATCAATTCATAGTAACAACACAGCAAGTTACACATTTCTTATGTCAGTGAGTTGTATTGCTTGGTGCTTTTGTAGAAACTCCTATATGCTAAATAAGATCTACAAAATTTTGATTATCTAGTCATCACACATGTTCCCAAAAACACAGGCTTTTGCTAACAACATTACAGAGGATACACAAACATGCACTTGGTATTCACAAATTATCTGATGAGTCATAAATCAATTGTTTTGGAATTAAAGTTGTAATATATGGTTACATCAAAGGATACAACAGTGTGACTAAATCAAGCTACAATAAGGTTTTGATGATACTGAACACATCATTACACAAAAAGCTAATGAATTTAATTAAATTACATTGTAAACCTGTGCAAAAAGGGGACAGTGCAGGACACCATGGGATGACTGGACAGACACTGAAAGGGTAGTTAGACACTCTGGCTGTGTTGGTGAATGGTTGAGTGTATTGAACTTTTCAACTTGTTACTGATGAGTGCAAATAACTCTTCAGGGTACTGAAATGATATATTTGAATTTCATTTAAAAAACAAAATCTTTTCATTAAATGTACATGTAATAAAAATTATACTTCTCCAAATGTAGTCTTCTATGAATTTACTGACACCCAGCCATTTACCAGCACTGCATTATCTGACTTGGGTAACAACAAGGCAGTGTAACTACAGCAGTTGGGTCCTGCGGGAGGGAGGGAGGAAAGGGAGCAGGGAATGGCCGGATGTTCACATGATGGGATAAGTGATATGTGCGTCAGGAGGGAGGTTCTCTCTTCTCTTGGCAATTTTCTAGTCTGCAATGTCTTTCAAGTCCTCCAAGGATTGAAAGATTCCCCCTAATAAGCCGCTTTTGAAGTTAAGCTTTTTTTTTGCACAGAGCTCTTCTTTTGCTGGCCTGTGTTCACCCAGTAGTTTCTGATTTTTCCAGTTAGTGTGCATGAGCAATTTTAATACACACTACACTGCAATTCACCACAGACAGGCAACTTATAATCTCTCAGTAGAAAGTGAGACGCTGGCAGAAGCTTAAACAGGAAAGTCTCCAAGAGTTCATCAAAGGGTAGAAAGGACAACACCAATACTAGACTTTGGCAGAATAAGGTCTGGCAGCAAATGGAATATCAACAATTACACTAAGGGTCAAACCTCAGGAGTGGTGTACAATGCACGGATGTGACAGGCAAGCTTATCAACCCTCCACACACACAAACGTGGAAGCTGATCACAGCTGTTTGTTCTGTCCCCAGACCACACACATGCGCACCACAGTTCTGTCTCCAACACACCATTGGCCATGAAAATATCACAAGAAGGAGAGGGTGGGGGCACTTCCAAAACTTAAACAGTCATTTGCTGCTCTGAGGCACGCTTTCCCCTTAGTTTACTTGGTACTCTAGGATACAGGGTATTCTTGAGCTATTTGGGAAAAATCTGTCTTTGTGATGGACAATTTTCACATTATTGCAATAAAATAACATAAAAAATGCACTCTATACCCTGCCCTGAACTCAAGTCTTAATTAGTGTCTTTCCCTCTTTCATTATCACATTTTCACATAGACGATGATGGCCTTCAGGTCCAACTTGACGCACCAGTGGACATCACATTCATTCTGGACCTGGACGTTAGCCCACCTGACTACTTTACCCTAACTCGGTACCAAGAGTTGGCATTAGCTAGAGTAGTGGCACTATACTAGGAAGCCCTCAGACATGTTGACGGCAAGCTGTGTGCGCAAGGTGTGTATACTCTGCAGAAGCTTCTTCTGGTGGCCAACTAGTGTGATACCCAGCTGAGTTAAGTCATGCTGGGTCAGGCGAGCCACAGCCTCCAAATCGGTGAGGCCTGTCCGTTGGAAGTTGTCCACGTAACGACTCATCTTCAGGGAAGCAAGCCAGTCCTCCACAGAGGTCAGCTGGGTCATATCAACAGAATCTAGACCCAGGGCTGTTGTACACCTGTTGAGAAAATAAAGTTAGTGAAACTGATTTACTAGGCATAATTATGAATGATATAATGTAAATTACTGAAAATTATCATGAAAAAACATGTGCACATAAATGTTTAAACTTCACCAAAAAATGGGATAAAATTTACACTCAAAATGAGTAACATGGGTATAACATAAAGATACAGTAGAATATTCTGCCTGTAACAATCCAATGTTTCAGTGCAGACGAGAGTAGTTGGCCAGACTACCCTAGTGCTTCACTGCCAACACTAGGAAGTACAGGCAGCAGGAGAAGGTAAGATCTGATCATGCATAGACACTACAGTTGGATGCGAAAGCTTAGGATGATGATGTGCCATGCAGTGAGAACACAGACATGATAGTGTAGCGTCTACATACACCCTGGTCAGCTGTAATTATAAGGTAGAAAAGTAGCTCATAGAATCACTTTCCAAGTGAATGTCACACACTACAATCCTGAATGCAATGCTCTGGTGTCACAGGTTATAGGAATTACACACTAAGCTGCGATGTCTGCCATGACACCTCAATTTATTACCTTAAACCTCCACCAGGTGACAGGCATGTCAGGCATGACGGCGTTATTTAGGCTGCCTGGTTAAAGTTGACCCACTGGGGTCGGATGAGGACGGGTGCATAGTAGGGGTTTTGGGGGGCCGGCCGCCTGGGGAGAGATCATAGGAGACACCACCGTCAGCCACACTACCACACCAGGCCAGGAGGAACGGGGGGTGGAGGAGGACAGGGTGTAGAGGAGGATTGAGGAAATGAATTGGGATCATTATGAGGAAAAATAGTTTGGATGTGGAGAAGTATAAAAATCATGAGGTGATGATGAAATGAGGAATAAACATGAATAAAGAAAGAATGGAGAGAAGTAATAATTATAGAAAAACATAAAATAAATATAAATAGGAAAAAAAGATGATGAATAAGAAGGCTACATATTGATAGACTTCAGCATAAAGATAATGAATGATATTAGGATTGAGCTAAGAATTTGGGATACTGTGAACAGAGATGAAGTAGAAATTTAGTGAGAAAGATTTACCAAGAAAAATAAGTCATGATAAAATGAGATGTAAAATGAAAGAGTTTTCAAGTGGTTTCTTTTCAAAAGTGTGAACAAGAATAATTATGGTGAACTCTGAATGATAAAGATTAAAAAAAAAGGCAAATAAGGTTGAAAATATTTTGGAAGGCATAAATTCTGGGGTGTAAAAATAACCTTAAAAGGATGTCAACCACCCTCAGAGGAAGGCAGTATTTAGTGTGTATGGCATTAGACACAAAAGCTACAGGTGAAGTTTTAAACACGTGAGATTGGTCGTGATACTGTATACTGTAATTCTAATTTTGTAGTATACTGTATTAATTATATCTGCCAAATGTAAGAACAAAGTTGAAGACTGATGAATGAATTAAAGTGTAAAATGTATACAAAGAGAAATTCTGAGAAAAGGTTGGAAAGATTTGATGAAAAATAAAAATTAAACCAAACAGGTACAAAAATAAAGTTTATATAAAATTATCCAAGTTTCTCTAAGGTCTTCCTCTATATCAGGTCCCAGTCAACTAGTCTCACCTTCAAGTCATTCTTGCCATATGCACACATTAACAAAGCATTCCCTCTGTTCCTCTGTCAACCAAAACGCCAGAACGCCGGTGACTGAATTGTCTTAATATTTTCATTGTCTCTGACCCGGTGATCATATATCCACCACAAAAACATAAGCAGGTGGAACAATAGCAAATCCCTCTGACAAAATGTTCAGGAACTATTCTTTACACTATGAAGCATAAGTCCTGAGTGGTATATAGTACAGTACTCTGTCAGTCCCAAACTTAAGAGACAATAGTTTACACTAGAAAATAAATAAAAAATAGAATCAGATATGGAAAATAATTTGTATTTTTACAGATCCACAAGCAAAACATCTCCTCTACAACCCTCACTCTTTGAGTAAGAGAAATAGATTTTAACTTGGAGATTCACAATTTTTCCTCCTGCACAAGTTAAAAATCTTTGAGATAACTTAATCACCATTCCCCCCAAAAAAATCTCCTTCAAAGATAGAGAGGGAAGATGTAAAAGCAGCAGGGAGACATAATGCAATATCCCTCAATAATTACACTTAAACTCTCCCGGCTATAGTTGAAGATATATGATGGAGGTAGAATGTATATAAAAGAGATAGAAAGGACAAATACAATACTGGATGCTACAGAATTTTAAAGGGCTGACACTAAAGGAATGATTGAAGATCATCATCAGCATCACCAGCTTACAGCATTTTTCCAAGCTTATCCATGATTACCTGATCGCAGCTCTTAAGCTGACAGTTTCTTGTTGCCTCACTCATCAGGTAATTTCTCACAATCTTTCCATCATGCTGCTCCTGTCTTATTAAACTAAATTGTCCTTTCTTAGTGCCAAAGCCTTTTGTCGCTGCCTTCCATACTGTAGTCACATGCAGTCCTTCAGTCTCTTAACATAGCCTAACTAAATACCCATACTCTTACTGCTAACCTTTTCCTCTCTTAGTTCATCTCAAATATAAGGACAACAGAAAATTACATACAGTATTTAAGTGGATTGGAAATACTGTACTGTAAAATCAAAGAAATAGAAAAAAAAATATATGTAAAAGAGCAACTACCAAAGGCCTGTTATAAAATATGAAATACTGAAGTACGAAATAAAAGAAAGTAAAGGTATCCCTCGCCATACGAATGGGTTAGGTTTCTTGAAAACAATTCATTAAGTGAATATTCATATATCAAATAATATAAAATATGGAAAAAATATGATTTGGTTCCCAATGAAAAAAAAAAAATTAATATTATACCTAGGAAAAATTAAATAGGCTCACAAGTAACAAAATAACTAACTACTGCAAATTTGTTCTTAATTACAATACAGTACTGTAATTTAATATCTATTAGGTACTGTAATTTAGCCTTTAACACATTAAAAAATGCATGAGATATAAATATGGTACATTACCTTAAGGGAACATAACTTCTGTATAGTGGGAAAGAAGTGTAAGAATTGAATGTTTGTATAAGTGAATATTCGCAGATTGAATGTTCTTGTAGAAAGGGATACCCGTACAGGTAATGAGGATTTTTACGGAGTAGGATTCAGTAGGAGGATAAGGCGTAGTGAAGTACTGTACTGCAAAATAATGAAATAAAAACAGTGAGAGAGCCAGTAGATGATGATAATGTGTATGTGATGTATTAACAAAGACAGCCTACATTCTATAAATTATAGAGAGCTTGATGGTAAAAAGGTATGACGACGATTGGCATGAATTCCAGATGAGACTGATGAAAACAAAGAAGACATGTACAAAAGCAAAATATTATAATGACACAAGTGATGAGAAGTGTTAGTTAATGAAGCAATCAAAACTGCAGTGAGAACCAGACACAATCAAGACTGCATTGAGAGCAAGACAAAAAAGCAGAGCAAATATTTGCACACAAAAATTCAATACAATAGCATTATGTCGGTGTGATGTGTGCCATATTATTTTATTTATATTCTGCTCAAATATACATAAGCATGTTTGCTCTCTCAGTGAATTTGACAGATTCTAATACAGTATGCCACATCAAACTTATAATAATGTTTGGCCCTCACACGTCTATAAGGAAGCATTTTTTAACTTCCAAAGTTGGAAAAAAAAGAGGAAACAAAGAAACAAAGCAAAGAAATGACATACTATAGAACAGGTTAGTTCCTCAACCATCACCAACAGATAAAATAAACACTTAAAATTCTAAGAGATTTACAGTAAAGAGTTTCAACAGTGTGTGCTCAAAGTTGCTACTACACAATACATTTCTGAATTGCCAGCAGTTCTTCATGGCAGCCAATCAGCGCATTGACACATATTGCCATGCTAATACCAGCTGACAGGCAAAGAGGCTCTTGTACACTGACCTGCATATGGGTACCATTTACCAGACATGTGATTGGTTCAATGGGTTTACTGATGACTTTAAACTGCCTCTTCCTAATACATCTTATGTCATGTATATATTAGCAAGAGCGTGAAAAGAGGAAATATTTAAAGAATGGGAAAAGAGAATCATCCCAAACACAGTATGGTATAAGGGATGTATGATGTAACCATACACTCGCAGGCAAGTGAAGAAAGAAATTAATGTCTTTCACATCATAGGTGTGTCTTCATGATCCTTGAACCAATCTCAGTCCCCTAAATTGTCACATGTTGGTCTTCCGCATACCGTACAACCTACATCAGGGGTCTACTGACTGGTGGTCAAGATAATGTATATAAATACCGTACGGTATAGCAATCATCTCTTACAAATACTGTTTGATCGAGTTTCAAAGAAGGCCTTCTAGTTCTAGCCTCTACACGTAACAGTAACCCACTATGTAGTGGAGCCCTGATCCTGCCTTAAGCTAGCATTCAAAGCCACAAGTTGGTGCATTTATTTTGCTTACAGTACCTGTTCTGAGCCACTTTGTTGAGAGCCTCAGGAGTACGGATCAGTCTATCCAGAGTCCGCACAATGGAGGCAAAATTGGGACGATGATTGCGTTCCTTCTGCCAGCAGTCTAACATAAGCTGATATATGGCCTCGGGACATTCCATAGGTGCTGGCAAACGATAACCCTGGAAAAAGATTTTTCTAATGAAGAACTATGGATCTAAAATTACAATAAAACAATTGAAAGACATGCAGGCCTTTCATGTTTCTACACTGATGTTTATAATCATTTATAAAATTATAATATTGAAAATAGATGCTATGTAAATAACTGTATCTAAATCTATTTCTATGTAAAACAGGTACCTTTTCCACATACAGTACTGCACTGGAGTTGAATGTACAATACTGTATTATACATATTATGTATTAATTCTCTCTCAATCAATTCTAAAAAGTAAATCGAAGAAAGACAAACAGATATAATTAACATCCTACACTGGATACTCAACTTTATAACAAGGACACTAACTTTAGTCCTTATCACTAACTGGTTCTATAACAAAGTACTCAGACAGAACAAACTTAACTGTAATAGACCCTGGATATCAGAAAGGATCAACTCATACATCAAATGCAACACACACATCAGTTGTAATAAACACAGGCTGAAAGACAAATAATGAGGGAAATATATGCAAGAGTTTGTCTGGTGAAAAAAAAAGAGAATGGGATAAGCAGAGTGAAGTGAGCATGAAATAAACCCAACCCATAAAATCATGTACAATATACCAGTTAAGAATGTAACAAAGAAAAAAGTCTGAAGGAATGAAATAATAGACTACAGAGACGGCAATTATGTACAGCTTTAATAGCTTATTTCTTCCTTATCGAGGAATGACTGGGAAAGTTTGGCACATAACCACAGCGTAGTCTCTAAATATGAATATTTTTTAGTCAACCAATGACATCAGCCACATGGGCCTGGCATCACATATTAAAGGTGAGTTGAGATACAGCAAGTAAGGTGACACACAACATGAATGTCTCCTATATCTTTGGAAAAGTATCTGAAAATTAGTTTGGTTAATTTGAAAAGGCCATTACACATCAGTAACATACAGTCGTTTCAATGCAGATTCCATAATAAGGCCACCTAGAACACTTAATACAGTTTAAGAAGACATATACTCTGTAAGAAAGTGATATAATTATTCCATCCTATTACTTTATAAAAGAACTCATAATCAGATAGCTTTTGTCTATAATATGGCAAATGTGATCATTACCTTCTCAATACTCTTAATGACATCTTGGTTGCTCCAGTTCCAGTATGGCCTCTCTCCATAACTCATGACTTCCCACATTACGATACCCAGACTCCACACGTCAGATGCACTTGTAAATTTGCGGAATGCTATGGCCTCTGGTGCTGTCCACCTTACTGGGATTTTACCCCCCTGGAAAAAATTCAGTTTCTGTCAGGAGATAATTTTGAAGCAGAATGATTACATTACTTGGTACAAATAGATGTTTTTTGTAGTGTTAGATGACTTTGTATTCATACCTAAAATAAACACCATTTTTATCACCAAATGATTTGCAATTAAAATTTATACTGTTTAATTTATGTGACATATGAGCAGTGGTAAAAGTCATGTATTTCTCCATATATAAATACCCAGTAATTTTGAACTATTTTATATGCAGTATTATGTTCAAAACTTTCTTATGATACATAAATCAGGGGCAGAAATTTTCAACTCTATAAAATTGCTTTCATGTGGGAAGTGCATTGTTGACAGTTAATATATTTTCAACCATGTTCAAGGACGCTCACCCTTGTAGTATATGCTCCTTCTGTGTGACTCTCAATCTCCCTTGATAACCCGAAGTCCGCAATTTTGCACATAAGCTGAGCATTTACGAGTACATTGCGAGCCGCTAGATCCCGGTGCACATAATTCATCTCACTGAGGTACTGCATTCCTGAAGCAATACATCGTAGCATTCCCACAAGCTGAAGAACCTGGAACTTTCCGTCATTCACCTGAAATATATGAAATGTTAACAGATGAATCAATGTCATGTCAAATTAGGTAAAAATCTATTCATGCTTAAAATAATAAACAGGAGTGACAGGAATAACATCTTCAACCAATATAATTCAATAACCAATTTGTAAACACCATATATCTTAACTGCTGGCTGTACTGACTGACTCTTATTAGTGAATTGCATTTTATCTTTTTTCTAGTGGCACAGTTTATTTTTTCATTAGGTTTAAATCAAACAACTGGGAACTGGTGATGTACTGTACAGTATATGAGTAGAAGAACTTGCATTAAACTACAATCTTGTATTTTCTAAGTTGTCAGCCATAAGAAGTACCATAATAGGACATTCCTGATTATTGTGCTGGTACTGCATATGTAGTTGGCAAGACACTATGAACTGATCCCTAGGGTCTACAAAACACTGCATCATGTGTTACTGATATTAACTTCATTGTCAAAATAATGGGATAATAATAAACACATAAAGACTAACCCTGAGGAAGTGGTCGAGTGAGCCATTCTCCATGTACTCAGTGATGATCATGACAGGGTTGCTCTTGGTTACGACTCCTTGTAAGAAGATCACATTGGGATGCTCAAATTGGCCCATAATTGACGCTTCGGTGAGGAAATCCACACGGGCCTTCTCTGATGATCCAGGCTGAAAATTTATGAATAAATATAATATATATATATATATATATATATATATATATATATATATATATATATATATATATATATATATATATATATATATATATATATATATATATATATATATATATATCAGCAATTTAGTAAGCAGGTAAGACAGCAAATATAATATTGTAATAGAGCTTTGTGTCATTTCCAAATGAAAAAGTCATTATGTAAGCCTATTCAGTCTACAAAGTGCAAAAGCATCTGTTAGCAAAGGTTTCACTTTGTAATTCCTATTAAAGTATTGACTACATTTGTAGACAATTAGCACTTCATGTAGCACTTGTCTATACAATACTTTAATTCGAATTAGATCACATAACTCTTTTGGGTGAGTGTTTCTTTCCTGTCAACACTTTTTTTTTTAACTCTTACACCCCTACAATCTTTTCCTGGTATGTACAGGATGACTTGAATCAAGAGCAAAAACTAACTTTCCTTTCACTCACCTTCATAAATTCATTCTAACTGCTGTGACATCCCCATAAACCACCCGACACCAGGCTCTCCTATCTTTGACATACAGTTCTCTATTACTTCTTGAATGTCCATCCTCCTAACTTCTAGCACTTCCTTCACCCAATCTCTCCATCTTCTTCATGGTCTTCCCCTCTTCCTCTTACAATTAACCTCTGCATCAAGAATTCACTGCCATACAGTGATGTCAGCCCAACAATTCCATTATACATTACATAGCCCCACCTTTATTTCCTTTGATACAGATCATTCTCGGTATAGTTTTTGGTGCATCCATTATTTTCTTTTCATCTGCTATTCTTTTTAACTCAATTCAATTTGCTGACACATAACTGGGTGAGCATTGATTAGTACATGCTGTTCTCAGTGACTGAGCATCAAGCTTAGACAAGAGAAGAGAGTGATGCATGTTGCCTGTTCTCGCAGGGGACTTTGGAACCACTTGATGAATTAATTTATTTTTATTTTCTGTGTTAGCAAAAATATATCTGACAGAAGAGAGTATTCTTACAAAGCAGCAATAAACAAAGCTGTGTTTCTTTAGGTCTGCTTGTATACCTTTTTATCAAATTTACTTTCTTCTCCAATACATTTACTTTCAACCCTCACTGCTACAGTACAGGTATATCCATGAAAACACTGACCAATCAGTGTAACATTACTCATGCTTACATATCTTTAAACTTAAACTACTGTAGATAATATAAAAAATTTCTAATGTTAAATATGATGACACTGAATGAACATGGACAAGGCTATGAGCAAGAGAAACCGTAATTTCCCTTAATTTTCATATGACAAAAGTGGCAAGAATTTGCAAGTTACTACAATCCTGATTTTTTACTCATTAACTTTCTAGCCCATTGCTGGATAATATCCAGATTTGCTTCCAATCTCACCCAAGTCAAATGATATACATGTAGACTGGATTTTAACCAAAGAATCTTGGAAACCATGACTAATTTCTTAACCACTAAACCCTAACGGTCATACAATATTAATGACAACAATCCATTTTGCTGAAACTAAAGATTTATATGGATAAGCGAATCATAAATTAATTTTTGAGCTTGAAATATTTCTTACCTTAAGAGTCTTGATTGCAACTGTCATTTCTGGTCGACTGGGTAGTTGAAGTTTACCTTTACACACATCCCCAAACTCTCCACCACCAATAATAGCCTCAATAGTTATATATGAGGCATCAATCTCTCTTGCAAATTCCCTGATAGCTTGGTTAGGGTCTTCATATGTGTGAGGATCTATATAAGTTCGGTGGTGTCCTACTTGCGTAAAGAGAGGTGTTGTCACTGTAAGTGAGAGACGGGTATTAATAACAAAGGGTCAAATACACACATCCACACTATATGACTTGGAAGTGTTCAATAAATGTGATATGATCAAACTACAATAAAAATCAGTAGAATATTGTACGTACAGTACTTTGACTGGAATTATTAATATATGAGTTACAGAAATATGGTATAATAGTGGTCTGTCCTGACTCATAAAAATTACTATACAAATACTTTTAAATACTCTAGAAAATATGAAATAATAAAATCATAAAAACTTAAAATGAAAAATCTCAACAAAAATATTGATACAACTAAGAAAGAGACTTAAACCAAAAATATCGTACTGAAGTAAACTGCCACCACACGATCAACCCGTCTCATATGTCACTGGAGCAGTGAGACACATGGGGCATGCCACTTTAAAACAAGAGGCTGTCACCCTTTACCATGTTCCACAGTAACTATACACATTAAATGTATATGAGTTAGCACTTAGCCTTATTGTGGGATATATATTGTATAATGGCTATGTTTTCTTTTATGCTGAAAGTTTCAAAAGCATTAAGAATGCACTTAATGAGAGGGTTATAAATACCCTTGAGGGAAAGCAAAAATGTTATTAATAGGCATTAGTAGAGCAAAGCGCAAAAATTGTAGTGAATACGAGGTTATCTTGGTCTACTCCTACTAGTAGTAAGGTGTAAGGATGTACAGGGTGATGGGTGTAGGGTATGGGAGGTGCAACACAGGGCATACTCAATAACAGGGAACAGGCTTTGGGAGAGAAGTAAAAAAAATAAATAAAATATTGCAAAATAATTTTCATAAAATACCAATCATAAGGTAAGCATTCAAAAAATAACAAAAGACAATTCTGAATAACACTAAGTTTCTATGCTTTCAATGTTGTTACAAAATTTAGTTATATTTGTTTCAATTAATCTCTCCTTTTGGCCACAGGTTAGTAGGACGTCAGGGAACTAATACTTACTACTTCCGGTGGTGTGGGTTTGGACTATAGGTGGGTTTTCCAAAACACCGTGCACTGTAATAGATGGGTAAAAATACGGGAGTTAAACACAAATTACCAACTAGGGAGGATCATGTCCGCAACGACGACACACAACCGGGTGGACTTACACTAAACGGGTGCCTGAGTGATCTATACACACATGCCTCATGGGGTCGGGGTTCTGGCTCTTCATGAAAGTACTTTAAAGGACTGCATTCTAATATTGCAGTTTGGAGGTATCTATAAGGAATTATTAGAAAGGAGAAAGTGAAAGATATTTTGCTTGCTAAAGCATCTATGGATCACTATGATCATAGTATCACTTGCTTTTATAGCAGCTTGTCAGTAAATGTTAGGTTATATGATACAATTTCACCTAACTTGATTTTCAAGTGCAGGTCATTAGATAATCTGTGTGTTATTTACAAACTAAATTTCTAAAACCAAATGTTAAACGCTACATACAGTATATCCCCTACCATATACATTAAAGCTACTCATACACTAAGCACATACTGCAACATTAAGGCATAAGGAAGTAAGTTCAGGAAAATAATGCACAGAATGAATCTGCAAAGAGATGCAAAATTGAAATAAAACAATAACAAATGCAAATGGATTTTTTGCACAAAGCTTTAGCTTCATTAATACAAAGCCAAGAATGAAAATAGCAGATTTTCAGCCAGGAGTTGATAAAATAATGGGCTTCAAGTACAGCCAGAACTAGAAGACAATTAAAGCAGGACTCCCTACAGGAGGCATGATGCAGGAGGCTACTGGTATGCACAGAAGGGCCAGGCATAAGACTTACACTTACTGAAGGTGACAATCAGTCCTGGGAGGGTGATTGCAGGAGGGAGGGAAAGTGGGGCAGTCAGAATTTAATTCTCCACAGCCAAGGATATTCACAAATAGGATCTTTGCCTTTGAAACCTTGGACTTTTATCATTTTGTTTCAAATATTCAGTTATGAAAACAAAATCTTGCTCTTAAAATTACAATTAGGTTTCAAATGCATTCAAAGCACATCTTTCTCCTCATATACTGGGAGGCAAAAAGAGTCATCAAAACCCAAATCTAGAGCACAAACTCTGGGGAAAATTGCATACTGTCAATGTCTACTCAAAATACAGGGATACAGTTATAAAATAAACTGTTCCTCTGTTCAGCTACAAAGGAAGAGTGGGATTACAAATTGAGCTTTTCATCAACTTTTTATGCAGGGACAAAAGGGTGTCGTGGTATATGAGTGTGCAGGAGTTGTAATTCAGGCTATGAAAGTGTCAGGCAATTTGTATTAGCTTGATAATGATGCAAGGAGAGGTGTAGGCAAGATGTGGGGCTCCTGCAATACACGAGGCAAGTCCTCCAATCATACTGTACAATTAAGAGTAATGGTAGGGTGTAGCTTCTGACATGCGAATAAGCGCATGGGTCTGAATGCTCAGCACAGGGGGGAGCAGGAGCCTGGTGGGTGCTACACGTACTGTACACAGGAGATGTGTTTAGGGTCCACGGGGTGAGATGCCCAGTTCTAAAGCAGGCAGGGTGTAACGCAGGATGACACAAGTTGGTGGTATCTGTTAGGTAAGTTTACTTTTGATTTCTAGAACAGATGTACTTGGAAAGAAAAGAAAAGAAAAAAATACTTTTCTGAAGTTGATATAAGAATGTACAACAAAATCAAACCCTGCAGTTGTGAGTTTATCTAAGTAAATAATAAATATTTAAACCTTCTTTCCTTATCATAGTCTACGGATTGGAATAAAAAAAAAAATGTGCTCGAACTGAAAAAAAAAAGGAAAATAATCATAGATCATTCTCATTACCTAAAAATATTCACAACTGAAAAAAATCTCCTTACCTTCGCCATTGCGATATTCTAATGTGTCGCAGTCTGATGGCTGCTTCTTGTTGCATTCATCTGTGCCTCTGCTGAAACACAGAAACATTTCAAGTTTAGTTTAAAAAGTTAACCCACCACCGTCACATGCTAGGGAACCAAATTAGATGACTCGGAAAAACTTGTTTGGGAAAACAAATATACTATATAAAATTAAAAGATATTGGTTGAGTGCTTACAAATATCTACAGTAAAACATAAAAAGATTAACCCTTTTTTAACCTTTGAACACAGACATGAGGAGTGAGTAGCACTGTAAGTCAGTATATAATGAAAATAATGTTCATGCTTCAAGATATAACACAAATATCAAGAAAAGTTAATTAGCTCAGATGTTCCTGAGAACAATACTGAAATATACTAAAGTAAATGATAAAGACAGAGCATAGGATAAATTAGTTACAAGTTTCAAAATAGTATACTACTGTACTACCAGAAATGACAGATTAAGATTATACTGTACTGTTCTATAAATAACTTGATTACAAGTTCAAAAACTGTCTGAAATGAAACTAATGAGCAGAAAGTTAGAGGTTCCAATTAAGTGTTAACCACATGCCCTGAAGTGAAATTAATATATTCATTACATTTCATATGTGTATTTTAAAGTGCACTAATATGCCACTGGGGTACAATCCATAAATCTTAATTCCTTACACATCTTTCTCTAATGGAAGTTTCCAGTCTTTAATGTTTTGTCTGTGGCTATCAATCTTAAAGTTTAGTTTGGTTGAAATTTTTAATATACTGTATTATGCTGTAGGCTAGTTCATTTCTCATAACTGACAGAAAAATCAATAGTTTTTTCTAATAATTTACTGTACACTAATAGAGTCCCCACCTTCTCAAGAAGAGCAGTGTCATAATAACAATGACTGCAATCACTACAAACGCTCCCACTGTTGCTCCAACAATAATGCGAACTTGTGTATTGTCCTCATCTCCAACATAAGCTGAAAAATATTCAAATATTTATATAATTTACCATAAAAAATATTAATAAGCAGAAGTAACAAACAGCATGATCACGGCTTCACTTAACACACTAGTACATTACTGTATTAAAAAATGGTCTTCATTAGATTGAATACCAGAAGTATCAACAGGTAGAATGAAAACAAGTGATAATTATTTCACTCAGGTTGAGTTATTTTTTATAAAACTAAAAACCAACAAATAATAATTTCAATATCTGAAAACAACAAATTCTTACGAGTCCCCAAGAGCTGTCCAGTCTTCTTATACACAGGGGACGAGTATTCTCCCCATCCATGGGTAGTCTTGGCACGGACCTGGAAACCATAGTCTGTTCTTTGACGTAGAGCCACCAGAGAAGACTCTTCCTTTTTAGTTAAGATACTGGAGGAGTTGTTCTGCAGTCCTCGAACATAATAGCGTACCTGCAGAAATGACATGTTATAGCTTGGTCATGATGATAAACATACAAAATAAACTATCTTTTACAAAGTACTGTACATAAGACATTCACGACATTCAAACTTTTACTCATGTGTTTAATAACGTAAATTTTTATTGCATACACCAAATGTGATACAGCACTTCATGTACTCTTAAGATTATGCAGCACAGAGTACATTGCCTATAATAAACTAGTATATTAAGGTCACTCTATTGTACTACTGTATATTAGATAAAGAATTTAAAAGGTTGCTATTTTCCTCTACTAATTTTGTAAAAAAGTGTACAATGATTCTCTTATGGGTTTTAAATCTAACTACACCAGTGATTTTCAACCTTTTTCATCTCACGGCACAGTGAGCCAGGCACTAAAATGGTCAAGGCACACCATCAGTATTTAAGGATAGATTTGATCGGCGGATCTACACTACGGAATTAAGGAGAGAATTTAAAACTGCCATTTGGGCTTTTAATGAACAACACATTTGTTTATTTATTGCATCATTGAAAAAAAAGGAGTTTAATGCGCTCCATAAAAGTACCAGTAATGTCAAAATGTATCCAAATGCTATTTTTTTTAAATGCTATCCAAATGCTATTTAAACTCCTGCGGCACACCTACGGATGCTTCGCGGCACATCGGTACATTGGTTGAAAATCGCTGAACTACACCATAACCATATGGGTTTACATATGACTTTTCATAACTACACAAAATATTAATTAAATTTTGGTTTGCATTTACATTTTGATTTGTTTATAGCACCCTAGGAAGTCTGTTTATATTCCTTACCTCATACATTTCAATATCTGAGAATGGATCACTTGGAGCTTCCCATGCCAGGGAGATCTCAGTGCTCTTAACACTTGTAACATGGACATTGCTCACCATGGATGGCACTGCAAATTCAAGAAAATTATTAATTTCTTCCTTATGTTATACTGTAATTGTTTCTAAAACAATACACTGTTTACTTTAAAGTACCCTGTATGATAATCTAGTAAGGAACCATTTTCTTATTATATACAATGAAGGTATTCAAAATATATTGAAATTTAGTAAAGGTATAACTAAGTTCCCTTCATCAAAATCTATTAAAAATGTGAAATGTATAAGCAAACATACCACAACAATAATAACATAAAAGTGATAACCCATAGATTCAGACATACTAACTTTAAAACTACACTAAGGTTCATTCAATAAAACATAAAATTTTTACATTATTGTGAGATGCTTCCAATAATTACTTATCTCTTTATAAAACTACAAAGGAGATTACAGTACCAAATTATAATTTAACTACTGTATTCAGAAGTACAGTACAGATAATAAATGAAGTCTCTAGACAGGATAAAATACTTTTTAGGACTCAAGATGAAAAAGAGAGATAATAGTATAGTAAAAAATATTCCAAAGAGATGTAACTAGAGGAAGGAGTGGAAGGACGACAAAAGTCAACTACAAGAAGGTTCACCCACCCTCAGGTTCGGAGCCAACCACCATAAAGCCACCTTGGTAAGGGAGAAGGAGAGGGTTGTGTTACTAGAGGTGATACACATCACACATACTACACTTATAAACAAACACAAACTGTCCAACTACCATCTAAGGAATATTTACAAGGAGAGTGTTCCACAGTAAAGCTGTGATTATAACATATTATTCCACAATGGTACTCTTACTATTACTGTTTACAGGTTATATCATGCAACCTACAGGTCTCTCTTGTGCTGTACTGTACATTGATTGATTACTGTAATGTATTTCACTGTAAAAAATATAGATTAACACAATTACAAAGGCCTAATCCCCTAAAATTACTACTAATCTATTATTTTATGCTTTAAGTTTCTTTTGATAATCACCTAAAATTCAGTAATATAAATACTGTCTTATTAAAACTTACCTGATGCCTCTGTAGTGACTGTGATATCAACATATTGAGGATCACGGGCTTGATCTGACACTCCATTCTCAGCAAACACCTGAAACCTGTATGTTGTAACTGGGTTCAGGCCACTGATCGTTACCTGGGTAGCGTTGAAGCTCTCCTGAAATGAAACACCAGTCACATATATCCAATTCTAGTGTCCAAAAACCATGGTATAAAACTCAAGCTATTTGTATCTACAAGAGAAACCAGTTAGGTCTACAGTATGTGGTACACTGCTATCCCGAGAAGCTTATTTTTCCATGACATTGGATAAGGAGCTTTAACTGATGTCTCTGTAGTGTATACTGTACTGACCTTCAATTTCAGCCAAAGTTTCAAACAATTTCTTGTTTTTAAGGTGATGAATGACACAATCATTTGAGCTTATTAAAATAATTCACACTCTTACTTACATCTGCCACCTGTGGGGGGTTGTACGAGACATGACTACCACAGGCATCACAGATAACTCGGTAGAGGGTGTCGGTGCGGCCCCCATCATGTATGGGAGGCTCCCACACAAGTGTCACAGTAGACTGGTCCGAAAAGTGCACTGTGATGTTCTTAGGCTTGCCTGGAGGACCTGTTGAAATAATATTAGTTAACCTCACTTCAACAGCGACAAACTTAATCTTATAAATATATATTACAGAGTGTACTACAGTTTAAATTTAATGTACCACTCTGTGTGACTCTATCCCTTTATTGCTCATCAAATCTCTGAGAAGGAGAATTGTAATTTACTGAGATCAACTGAAATTTGGTGGCTTGAAGTTCAAAATTGAGATTTTAGTTTTCCAGCAAATTTTCACATTTTGAAAACCCCCCAAAAAAGAATAAAATGTACAGTATTTCCACAACCAAATTTCAATGGGTCTCATAAACTGTAACAACTTTCCTTCGGTCTGATAAAAAATCAAGAAATAATAAGACCATTGACCAAAGTTTACAAATATAATAAAGGCGTATCCATAAATTATGTACGTTGTCTGGTTAATAAATGTGCAGGTGCAGACAACAGTGTTTTTTCTTTGTCTAAAAATGGATATAATGGATTAGAAACACATCACTTGTGAAATAGGAGTGGAACCTAACACAACCTAACCAAATCTTAACTTATCCAAATATATTCTTACCTAACCTAACTTAACCAATTCTAAATTTACTGTGACCACACCTAACTTATCCTAATTTAATCTAACCTAACATAACCGAACCAAACCTAATCTAATATAACCTACCGGTAATCAATCCTAACCTTACCTACCTAAAATATCCTAACCTAACCAGACCAATAAACTAGGCTAGGGTTCAGAATAATCCTAATATCCATTTATTCTTTAAAAAATTACTAATAATCTATAACGTAAAATTCATTTGGTAAAAATTGACTCAAACTCCTTTATGTCAATTTTTGGTTATTAAAATTTCTATGGTTAATTTCTTTAATATAACTCTGTTCTGAATTCACATGATAATTATTCTGTAAATAATAATAATAATAATAATAATAATAATAATAATAATAATAACTATTACTATTACCATTATTATTATTACTATTACTATTATTATCATTATTGCCACCAACCGAATCTCGAGAATTTTATCTTTACAATCAATAGTTCAATTCTAAGACACTTCTTCTATGACGTTTCCTTCACAAATGACCTATATTATTATTATTATTATTGTTATGATCAGCAATTTAATTAAAGTGATACTCGGTTGGTCTCTTTAATACTACAGTAACACCTTTAAACTCATTCAATGTCATTTAATACCTGTGTTTAATCTCATTCATTTAACTGTTTATTTACGTCCGTTTTCTCTGTCACGATAAAAGAAAATGGAACTTTTATATGGGAGGACGTTTTTAGTTTTTTATTATGGTTGTAAGATATAGCAATCATTTTACTTTAGTGTATTACTTTACTTTATCGAAAAGGTATATTTTACCCTGAGAGGAGAATTGTAATTTACTGAGATATACTGAAATTTGGTGGCGTGAAGTTTAAAATTCAGATTTTAGTCTTCCAGCAAATTTTCAAACTTTGAAAACAGAACTTCCAAAACCAAATTTTGTAATATTGCATTAAACAGAAACCACTGAATTCCGGAAACTCACTACACTCAATCGATATAACTATTTTTCTTGTGATAATTTTCTTATATTACATTATGTTATGTTAGGTAACAAATTTTTTATCAGATTTTTTGATTGCTTTAATCTGCAATTTTACCCCAAATTTCAACGGGTCTCGTTAACTGTAACAAACTTCCTTGTTAATACTACCGGCACAAATAGCTGTTCTCTATTATTATCACTAGGTAATTTCCTTAGGTATCTTAACAAGGCAAATATAACAGGAAAAATATACTGCACAAGAGAGATAAGTGCATGACGAGACACTCACGGGTACAGGGCATGCCGCGACGGTCCTTCGGGGCGCGGTAGTACCCAGTGTCACATCTACACTCAGAGGCTCCAGCATGGGGCGCCGCGCTGTGCTCCGGGCAGGCACGGCACTTGTCCGCCCCCACACTGTCCTTGAACTTCCCAGGTTGGCACACTGCAGAGGAAACACAACACCATTATAATAATGTCACCACAAGGAAAATACCAGACACGGAAATAAACATCATTAAATTACTGGAGAAAACAATACCAGTATGATATTATCACAAGGAAAATAGTTGTTATAATGTCATTACTTACGCTTCAACAACGAAGGTCTTTAAGCACGTAACAAGGTCAGTAATACACTAGTACAACAAAGATAAAAAATTATGAGAGATAGAACTCTGTATAAAATACAGCTGTATTAAACATCACCATTATGACGTCAACAACATATAACTGTCGGCAACACCTAATACAGTAATGCTGGGTGTATGATGGTAACATAAGGAAGAATAATATAATACTATTACGGTTTGGTGTAAAATAGCAAACACTACCACATAAGTGATGCCTTATTTCAATGATATATTAAAACTTCATTTCTCGACGTGTTATTTTAGTCACCAAAGGTTATAAAGAGCCACAGACCACACAAATATTACGTTGCGACAAAGAAACACAAGAAAATGTGAAACAAAGGAACTGTGTATATATTACGACAATAACGAGACAACAATTGATAGTTTCTCACGCCTGGCTGCTGGCACTACACGGTAAATGAGGTGCATTACACTGTCCAGCGTGACTCTCACATTTCATGCTTAACACACGTTCACGCACGCAAGTAATCACTTCACATATACATGAATTTCAAATTGACAGTTTTAATTGATATAGCATGGTAATCAGTACAGAGATGAGCCTTCCTTCACAGGCAAGGATTTGTGATTCAGTCGTTAATATGCTAATGGATTTAACCCTTCACGGGCCCGTCAGCAAAAGCTAATTTTTGTACAAACGGATTTGTGGAAGAATTTATAGATGTGATATTTTAAGGAATCATCGGCTTTTAAATGGGTCCATGGAAGAATTAAAATACAATAAATGTCTGACCAGGCACAAGGAAAACATCCAGGAAGGTAACTCTCAATCCAAAATTTCTCCAGCAGCGGATTAGGGTGTGTAGTCCAAAATAAAATTGGTAAGATATTCAATTCTTCTTCCTTAAAGTGCTTCCAATGATGCCAGATAAGTATAGGTGTATAAAAGCTTAAATTCAAATTTGACGAAAGCACAGTTTACACAGATACCATTCCACGTATTAATAACATACATATGGATGGGTTGGTAAGGTAGGAGGTTGACAGAAGGACGACAGTACCACGTGTGAAGGAGCAGAGGAGAACAAAAGGCTACACTTGGACTCCTCCTGGTAACGTGATACCTGGCAACAAGACCACAAGCAGCGAGGCGGTGTGACCCCTCTACCAATTGCCGTGACCTCGATGATGACATGACCAGCTGACTGTCAGACCCAAACTACACTATCAACGCATTTTGGATTTATTAAGAAAAAGATGAACCATTCTATAACCCAACAGTCCTCTGAACAATACACAGCGAACAAGAATATCACACCCAACAATGTGTACGATAACACAGCCTGAGCGATGCCATCTTTAGCCGCTTCAGACACAAACATGATACTTCAACTTTACAAAATACTGAAGAAAGAATAAGTTACAAGTTTCTCACTGAACTTGCTAAGGGAATATTACGCGAACATAAATATAACTTAATCAGAGCAAGAGACAGACAGGTAAGTATTAAGAGATAAGATAAGAATGCGGGGAGTCATAGTCTGGAGGCGGGGAAGGAACGTCTGGCAGTGGTGGGTAGAGGGAAATATTCAAGAGGTTCCTGAACGTGTGTATAAACTAGAGACTTATTCAATAAAATTGTCACGCAAGTTTCCACTAATTCAACACCTACATAATTACAATACAGGTATACAGGCAATAACAAAGTGTAAATCGTTTCAACCAAGGATATTACCCCTGATAAGAGAGATAACAGGAGTCTTAGGATGTTGTGGGGAAGACAAACACGTCCCTAAGAAGATATCGTGTAGGTAACTTGGAGTGAATGGAGTATATCTTGTGGAGAAGACGAGGAGGTGGAGGAGGAGGGCACACACAGAGCTCTCTGGTGGCGTGACAGGGCTCAGGTCACATAAATATAAACATTGGGCAATACAACGCACGAAGGAAGACTCGCTCGCCAGTGACCTCACCCCACACCTGGAGAGAGAGAGAGAGAGAGAGAGAGAGAGAGAGAGAGAGAGAGAGAGAGAGAGAGAGAGAGAGAGAGAGAGAGAGAGAGAGAGAGAGAGCCAATATGACAAAATCGGATAAAAAAACCCACACAGCCACACTGACAAATCGTGGAAGGCAGAAATTAGCAGGCCACGTTCGGGATTGTGGGCGCATGGTTCAGCTTTGATCAGTTCTACACACGGAAGCAGCCACGTTGAATCAAAACCTAATTCACCCCAAATTGAGGTTAGTGAATCAAACTAAATTGTAATTATAGTGTGGAACTGTCGTAAAGCGGGAACTGTGGGGAGATGAGGAAGAAAGCGGAAGAGGAGGGGGAGGAGGTGAGGAGAAGAGGAGGAGGATGAGGTAGAAGAAAAAGAGTAGGGAGAGGAGACGGAGAAGAGCTAGAGACACAGGACGGAGAAGGAAAATTCAAAAGATGGAAAAACCTTCCGTTTCTCCCCTCTCTTACCCATTCCCAACCAAAACAACTCCTCCATCCCCCAGATCCCTCCCTACTCCTTCCCGCCTCCACCACAACCCTCCATCCTCCCTCTCTTCCACCCACCCACCCAACCCCCTCTCTACAACCACACCCCCTCCCTCCTCTCTCTCTCTTACATCATTACTTACACATCTCCACCTAATGCTTATAATACCAATATCTTTAATTTATGTGTGTGTGTGTGTGTGTGTGTGTGTGTGTGTGTGTGTGTGTGTGTGTGTGTGTGTGTGTGTGCTGTTGTGAAGTCAGTGAGGTGAGGGAGCGGTGGCCTGGTGGACGGTCGGGACCCCCAGCTGCTCCACAAACCCCCTGACAAGACGCACCAAGATTCGGCCTCACCTTTGATCTCCTCTCACGTAAATATAAAATAATATGAGGGATTTTTAAGCGGGTATATCCGAGGCTTAGTCTCTTGTTAGGAAGACGCCCGGCTGCTGCTGCTGCTCCTTCTCGTAACCAAGACTCTAAACAAAAGCCCCGGCGGATATTACCAAACGAGTAATAATAAAAGTAAAAAAAAAAAAAGATGGCACCTTTATGATACGCTGTCATGCCCAAACGACCATTAAATATTCAGACAAGCAAAACAACGAATCGCCTCATGAGGAAGAGTTCTATTGGCCATATCAATTATGTATATGTAACGGAGGTCTTGTTGCAGCGATACCGACCCGTGTACACCAGAGGGAAAAGACGAAGGCGAAGAAGAAGAAAATACTTAGCCTGAGTATATTTTAGAGGTTTTGTGATACACCGCCGCCAATTTCACACTCTCCTCCTTCCTTTATCACTCCTCATTCCTTCCTTATCACTCCTCCTTCCTTCTCTATCACTCCTCCCTCTTTCCTTATCACCCCTCCTTCCTTTCTTCCTTATCCCCCTCCCTCGTTTCTTCCCTATCACTCCCCCTTCCTTATCATTCCTACCTCCCTCCTTTCCTCTCACTTTTCCCTCCTTCCTTATCACAGCTTTACCCCACTGTACGACAACTTTACCTCACTGTACGACAACTTTACCTCACTGTACGACACTTTACCTCACCGGACGACAACTTTACCCCACTTTACGACTGTACGACAACACCTCACTTTACCCCACTGTACGACAACTTTACCTCACCGGACAACAACTTTACCCCACTGTACGACAACTTTACCTCACCGGACAACAACTTTACCCCACTATACGACAACTTATCCTCACTATACGACAGACAACTTCTCCTCGCTGAGTCGTGAGAGCAAAATAAGCAGGCGGTGAATTTTCCCATCACGTTAGAAGCAAAAATCCCGAGCACATGAACTGCTAGAGGATAGGAAAAAAAAAAAAACATGATTATACCGGAGAAAACCCCAGACTTGGAGTACGAAAAGAAGGAAAATAAAACCCTTGATAAAACAGAGGAAAATGTAATAATAATTGAGGAGGTACAGGCAGACAGAGGGAAGGCGGAGGGAAGAAGGAGGGAAGAAGGAGGGAAGAAGGAGGGAGGAAGATGGATGGGGCGGAACTCTCGACTCTTATATATGAATTCAGAGTCTCAAAACACCAGGTTATTTTTATTTATTTATTTTTTTCTCTCGTAAACTCCGGGTGAGGGAGACGTTCTTGAGGTGTTCGTTTGGAGGTATGGCTTTAAAGATGGCCGTCAATGTGGCTTGAGACTTTATCAAGGCTTGGGTCAAGGGTTTTGTTATATCCTGTTAGGAGAAAAAAATTAAGAACGAGAGAGAGATATATATATATATATATATATATATATATATATATATATATATATATATATAGAGAGAGAGAGAGAGAGAGAGAGAGAGAGATACACACCTCCCTCTTTCCCACCACTTAATTACGCAAAAATAAGTGAACTAAGAACCTAGATAACAAAACAGAAGTAGGAGTAGAGAGGATAAAAGAGGTGGTAGAGGGAGTAAAGATAAAGATAAACGAGGAAGAAGGAGGGAGGGAGGGAGGGAGGGAGGGAGGGAGGGCTGCTGAAGTCCATCACGAGTTTCTTTACTTAAACACTTGATCGCCGTCATTAGCAACGCTCCGCTGAAGTCCATCACGAGTTTCTTTACTTAAACACTTGATCGCCGTCATTAGCAACGCTCCGCTGATTCTCCCTCTCCCCTCCCTCTCTCCCTCTCCCTCTCTCCTTCCCTCTTCGTGGTACCTTCTTCTCCTCCTTCCTCTTCTTTCTTCTTCTTCTTAGCCTCCTCCTCTTCCCTCTCATGGTACTTTCTTCTCTTCCTCCTCCTTTTTTCTTGTGGTACCCATTTTCCTTGGTATTACAGCCTCCTCCTCCTCCTCCCCCTCTCTTCCTTCCTTCTAGCTCCTCCTCCTCTT